AACTTTGTTTTTGTTATTGAATACAACCATCGGAGGATATTTTGTGTATAGATATGTAACCCATGAACTGAATGTTTCTCCAAGATGCCTTATAACAGAAATTAGATTGTATTTTTGAATAAAAAATGGCAATTCATAAAATTCATAACATTTTAAATTGCAAAAATATATAAGAAAAGAAAATAAAGAACTGAGTGTGTTTGTTTTGTACACTAACAATTGAGCTTTTGAAGTAAGAAAAGAATTTGAGTAAACCTAAGTATATTGCTTTTAAATTTTTTTTTACTCTAAATTTTTCTAAACTTTATTGAATTCAGTTTTTTTTTTTTTTTTCTTTTTTTTTGAAATATTTATACACTTTGAACAAATTTGATTTATTGATATTGTCTATCTGTTTGTTAGCGACTAGCTTTTTTTTATTCAGTTTTAATATATATTTCAAAATATCAAAAGAATTTAAAAATCTTGTTTTAAAATTATTTTTAACTATTTGATTAATTTTTTTTATTTTCCATTTTGATTGTCAAGGTGAAAGAGATAAATTCATTTCAATGCACATTTTAAATCGTTTAGAAAATGAGAAGAGGGTCTGAATTAAAATATTAAAATAAGATAAATGGAAACAAATAAAAGTTTTTTTATATTTAAATATCTGATTATGTTTTAAAAGGTGCAATTAATAAATACATATATCTTATTAAATTGTTATATAGATGATAATCTATTTATGAATAAAAAAAGTTGATAGAAAAATAAAATATATGAAATATATGAAATACATGAAATGAAATGAAATGAAAAAGATAAGTTATTGACAGCAATCAATACTTTTGATATAGAGGAATTTTTTTGTTTATTATTTGCTTTTATTCAAGGGTTATGGAATTATATAACATCAGCATCTGTGCTATCCCTTTTGTTCTTACAATATATATCTTTTCGTATTACACAATATATTTATAATTCGACTTTAATATTACATCTCCAATAACCAAAAAATAATTCCTGATGCCAACTTACAAGGAAAATAGTAGGGTCAGATACCAAACCCTCCCCACTTATATCCATTTGTCTTCATCAAAGCTGTAATTGTATTTTTTGTTCCCTCCAAGCAAAGATAAAGCTTACAATTTTTTTCAGCCAATCAAACTTTTTAAGAAAGTTGTGGTGTTTGTCCATCTTTGAACATATCAGTTTCAATTCAATTCAATTCATTTCAATTCATTTCAATTCAATTCTTTTCTTTTCTTTTCCTTCTTCTTTTTCTTTTTCTTTCAGCAAATGAGACTCAATGTGTTTAGCTGTCTCCAGCTCTCCACATTTGCAGTTATAACGATTATTTTTAATTTCAAATTTTTTAAACAATGTTTTAAAGTAGCTATAACATATTTGCAGCTGTGTAATATTACTTGAGATCCTTCAACTATCTTTCTTCATAATCCCTCTCGTGATTATTTTTAGAAGGATTTATTATTTTTTCTAACAAGATGAGACAAGTTTATTTAAAGAATAGAAGAACTGAGAATATATATATAAGTTTTTATTTTTTTTTTTTCATTTAAAAACAATTTTTTTTATTTTTATTTTTTTTTCTTCAAATTTCAATGTATAATTTAGAAATTTAGAAAGAATATTCTTGGTATTTAAAAAATAAACATTGGTTCGCTTGGTTCGAAATATTGTTTAGGATTTCCAATCCAGTAGTTACAACCGAACAAAACCCTAACCACAAAGTGTGTAACTCTTAACAAATCAGATAAAGAAATAATATCATTTAAATCTTAGATTTAAACCCTAACGGTTTGGTATCACTGTTAAAAGAAGCGAATCAAAAAAAAAAAAAACATTTCCACAAAAAGACATTTGATAAAACTGAACTCACCTTAGATACACTGAAAAAAATTTTTTTTTTTTCATGTTAATAAACTAGCTAGTTTACAACTGGAATTAAAATTACAGACGGTTAGCATGATATTAATGCAATTAAAGAGGCTTGCGAACTTTTAAGGAATCATTTAGAAATGGGAGATTTACCGTGCATAATACCAAAAGATTGTTACTTTTAGAATGTAAAGATTAACCGAAATAATGCTTGAGTAGAAAAAAAGAAGGAAAAAATAAAGGAAGAAATATCTATAGTTTCCTTATAATAATAATTTTTTTTTTCTTTAATGCCAATTTCATTCAATATTTTACAAGAAATAGGACATTTTTTTTTAAAAAAAAAATTGTATAGAAATTGACGGATCTACGTGTAAATTTCGGAAAATATGTTATTGATTTAGTAATTGGTTAAATCAAAGGTCTATCCATATTGTTTAGCAACTGACACAGTGATGAGCTATTCAAAAGATCTTTACTGATTGATAACTATTTCATTGTCATTTCATAAAGAAACATTTCAGCTAAAGAGGATGTATTTGATTTCCATATCAACAATGTCATTTAATGAACCAAATCTTTTTTTTTTTTTTCCATAATACTCAAACTGCATTTCAATTTTGTGACTTTCTAATTTATTGCTCTAAACTAATGAATTACAATTTTCGATGATTATAAACCCCATCTTTTCAAAGAAAATGGATTTACAAATAATATACCATTTTGATTGCTCATTTTTTCCATTTTTCCATTTTTCCATTTTTCCATTTTTCCATTTTTCTTTTTTAATTATCAATTATAATTTACTATCAATGTAAAAAAAGCAAATTATAGTTGTTTTTTACATAACCAACTGACAGATCCCAGTTGACAGTATCTTTTCTTGCAATGTTTCATTTTTTATTTTATTTTACAGCGCATGTCCAAAGACATGATGAAAGGACAAGGCAACACAAGTAAAGTTTTTTTTTTTTTTTTTTTTTTTTTTTCAAACAATATTGGAAAAGAAGAACAAGCAATTTTTTTTTGTGATAATCTTTGTGTAGTTATGATACAACGGAATTTGGAACCCCATGACAACTATGACTGAAAGTTTAAAAAAATCTTAGATAAGGAATTGATTAAGTATTTAGTAAATTAATTTTGAGGAATTACCATAGTGATTCATTTTTTTTTATTTTTTTTTTTTTCAAATGTTTGACAAGATATGGATATCTAAAATTTTTTTGCATAAACTAAAAACGAGGCCTTAAGTAAAGTGTTTTTTTTAATACCCCCCCATGATCAAATCAAATGTTCAGTATCATTAATAAATTAATAAATTAATAAATTTCGTCTTAAAGTGTATCATTCATATTTAAGAGTCAACCGTTTATTTAATTGAATGAAACCTTTCTGCACCGAAATATAAAAGAGAATAGGCATTTTATATTATTTTTATTTTTTTGAAATCAATTTCATGCAAGAATATTTACTTATTTACCTATTTTATGTTTCATGTTCTCTTTTTTTTTTTTTTTTTTTTTGGAGGTAGTAAGAGAGTAGGATATTGGATATTATTATTACTATGGCAGATTTGAGCCAAAATAACCCCTCTCTCACGCAATTCGATAGATCAAATCAATGGCCATATAGATTTATACTCCATGGAGTATAAGTAAACTGCACTTTGAGACTGGATTGTATAATATTTTTTAATATCTTTTTTACTTTATATCTTTTTTTTTTTTTTCTTTGGTTTCAATGAGACTTGGGAATACAATTTATGGCTGGTATCATTTTTCTTTTTTTTTTTTTTTGCAATTTTCTTAAGGCCTTGATATCACAGCTTTTGAATTTTGATTTTTGACTTTTAATTTGTTAAAAAAAAAATCTAAAAAAAATTGAATTGTTGGCAGGTAATCTATTTCCATATTTATTTTAATAGTTTTTTTTTTCTAGAAATCAAAACAGTAACAGAATGAATGAATGAGTCAATCGAAGTTTTCAAAAAAATTTGATTGATTTTTCCACAAATTTTAGCAATCGGTACCCTCTCTCCGATATCGCTGGCAAATCATCTTGAAGGGGTTTGTTATTTTTTTTTATTTATTTTATTTTATTTTCTTTTTTTTTCTTTTTTAAAAGTACCATTTTTAGTGAAAGTGAAAGTCACATGACCAATTATTTCCACTTGCCCGGTGGCTGTACACATACAAGTGGCAACGACAACGGCGACAACGGCGGAAGGCCATTCATTTATTCATTCAATCAATCATTACGGCCAAGGATTTCCCGGCACGGTACTCGGGTTGTTCCCGGGTAGGTTTTGTTTTTGTATTGTATTTTTCCCCTAATTAGACTTAAAGTCTTTTTCATTTCTTTCATTTTTAAACTAATTAACCTTATAAGGTTTTTTTTTTTTTTTTTGTTAATTTAAGAAATTAAGAAATTGAATTTTTTCTTTTTTTTGATTTGATTTTAACGTTAATTAACTATATATATATATAAACTTTGTTAAGAAGTAATTTACGGAAAAATTCCAATTTTAATGATTGTAGATCTATGGTTGTTAATAAATCCGAGTTGTTTATCATTTTTTTTTTAAATAAAAGACCGGATGAAGATATTTTTTTTTTTTTTTTTTCGGGGAAATAAATACTCACGGGATTTTTGGAAATATTGGGGGGGGGGAAAAAAACTGTAGACAAAAAGGGCATTTCTTCTTCTTATCAATAAAAATCTCCACAAAAACCAAAAACTGGGGAAATCAAAAATTTACACGGGATAGAAGATTGAAAGAAAGAAAGAAAAAAAAAAAAAACAAGATGATTTATTTAACAAGTCAATTTAATAATAATAATATTATTATTATTAACTGTACCCTAAAAAAAAAAAAAAATTAACCAAACAGATGACACTGGTTGGTTAAAGAACAAAACTTCCCCGGGTTACGCCACTAAAAAAAAAAAAAAAGTATATAAGCAATGAGATTTCCTTTTTTTTTTTTTTTTTAAATTTTTTTCTTTATCTCAACTAAAATCTGTTCAATTTTTATTTTATTTTAATTTAATTTAAAATCTCTCAATATCCTTTAAACCACTATTCTAATAATAATAAAATATACATACATATACAAAATGCCATCTCTTAAAATCGTTGCTGAGCTTGATTCATCTTCTCCGTACCCTTCCGGAACCACTCCTCAAGATATCCTGACCAAGGGAGCTCTGGATTTTGTGGTTTCATTACACCGCACTTTTAACAACCGTCGCAAGAAACTCTTGGAAACCCGTGTTAAACGCCAAGTTGAAATTGATGGTGGCAAACTTCCTTCTTTCCTGGAAGAAACTAAACATATTCGCGAAGATATTGCATGGCAAGGACCTGTGCCGGCACCTGGTCTTGTTGATCGCCGAGTGGAGATTACTGGGCCTCCTGATCGCAAGATGATTGTTAATGCTTTCAACTCAAATGTCACAACTTATATGACCGACTTTGAAGACTCAATGGCACCAACTTGGACTAATGTGATTTGGGGACAAGCCAATCTGTATGACGCTGTGCGTGGACAGTTGGACTTTGTTGCCAAGGACACTGGTAAGGAGTATAAAGTGAAGGATGCTAATACTCATTTCAATGGTAAGTTGCCGACACTGATTGTTCGCCCCCGTGGATGGCATATGGTTGAAAAGCACATTGTTGTTGATGGAGAGCCTATTTCGGCATCTATTTTCGACTTTGGTATTTTCTTTTATCACAATGCTAAGGCTCTGATTGCAAAGGGTCATGGACCTTACTTTTACCTCCCCAAGATGGAGGCATACCAAGAAGCTAGACTATGGAATGATATTTTTAATGTTGCACAAGATACATTGGAGATCCCCCGAGGTACTATTCGTGCTACTGTGTTGATTGAGACTCTGACAGGAGCTTTTGAATTGGAGGAGATTATCTATGAGCTTCGCCAACACTCTTCAGGCTTGAATTGTGGTCGTTGGGATTATATGTTTTCTACAATTAAGAAGCTGCGTCATTACAAGGATAAGGTTCTTCCTGACCGTGGAGATGTGACCATGACTGTTCCATTTATGGCTGCTTATGTCAAGTATTTGATTGAGGTTTGCCACAAGAGAGGAGTACATGCTATGGGAGGCATGGCTGCACAGATTCCTATTAAGGGAGACGAGGCTGCTAATGCTGCTGCAATGGAGCGGGTCAAGGCCGACAAGTTGCGTGAGGCGACAGCTGGACATGATGGTACATGGGTTGCCCACCCTGCACTTGCCCACATTGCTACTGATATTTTTGGAGAGTACATGCCCCATCCTAATCAATTGTTTTATCGTCCTGAATTGGACAAGGATGGCTACTTGCCAGTTGAGACTGGGGATTTACTGAATACCCAGATTACAGGAGGGAAGATTACCGAGGCTGGAATTCGCAAGAATATTTACATTGGGCTGAACTATATGGAAGCTTGGCTTCGTGGAGTTGGTTGTGTTCCTATTGACTGGTTGATGGAGGATGCGGCTACTGCTGAAGTTTCACGAGCCCAATTGAACCAGTGGGTTTTACATGGTGTTAAGACTGAGGATACAGATAAGGTTATTACTGCAGAGTTAAATAAGGATATATTGGCAGAGGAGACTGCCAAGTTATTGAAGACAGCTAAGGAGGGCAATAAGTTTGAGCTTGCTGCCAAGTACTTTTTGCCTGAGATTACAGGTGAGAAGTTTTCAGACTTTTTGACAACATTGTTGTACGATGAGCTGACGGCTGGAGAGTCGTTTGGTGAGATTTTAGTTGAAGCGTTGAAGGCTTAGTTAATTTTTTTTTAATTTATTTATTTATTAATTAACTTATTTATTAATTTAATTTATTTATTTATTTATTTATTTATTTGTTTATTTCCGGAATGGACGAGCCGGGTTGTATTTAAATTTGCACGACGGGTGCGAGAAATAATTAAGCATATAAATTTATTTATTTATTTAATATTTGAGAAGAAGAAAAAAGAAGAAGAAAAGATTTTATTTTATTAAAATTAAAATTAAAATTAAAATTAAAAAATATATATATATAAAATAAGGAGATTTTTTATTGTTGTTGTTGTTGTTGAAAGATATCCGAGAATCCCGGAGTTTGTAAAAAAAATAAAAAAAAATAAATAAAAGAAGGTGTAGCCAAGCGATGAGATGAGATGTGAAAAAAAAAAAGAATAAAAAGTTTAGTTAACTATAGTTAAATAGATATGGTTATTTTAAAAAATGTTTATTTAAAGAATTATTAATTTATATATATATATATAATTTTTTAAAGTGGTAGTTATTACCAAGTAGTTAATTAAATCTAAATGAGTAGAAGAATAATGGAATTTTTTTTTTAAATTATTATTATCAACTCTTATTTTTTTTTTTTTTTTTTTTTTTTTTTAAATACATTGAAGATACTTTTTGAATAATCGAATTGAATGGAAACTATGGAGGTTTTTTTTTTTATAAATTCCTTCCATTGTTGTTTATATATATATATATATATATATATATATATATATATATATAGAAGTACTACAATTGTATTTTTATTTTTTATTTTTTATTTTTTTTCTAAACTTTTCTAAACTATTGAGCTTCCGTCTTTTCCATAAACAGCCGATGATTAAAGTTATATATTATATTAATAAAAATATTAAAATAATAATTAAAATAATATTAATACCAAATCAGAAACTAGCCGTTCTTTCCATATTAATTTAATTGTTTAAAAAATTGTGATGCTATGTGTCCATTCCATTATATAATCATATTAATTTAATTTAATTTAATTTAATTTAATTTAATTTAATTTAATTTTCCCGCCCAAAAATTTGCGCGCTTTTTTTTTTTTTTTTTTTTTTTTTTTATTTTTATTTTTATTTTTATTTTTTAAATTTATTTTTTATTTTTCTTTTTTTTCTTTTCTTCTTTTCTTCTTTTCTTTCTTTCTTTCTTTCTTTCTTTTAAAAATTGCCAACAAATCAAATATATATAAAATTTATAAAAAAAAAAAATTATAAAAATTATAAAACTTTTTTTCTTTCTTTCTTCTTTTTTTTTTTTTTTTTTTTTTTTTTATTTTCTTTAATAATAATAATTGTTATTATTATTATAAATTCCATATTCAATTCTCTTATCAAATCCTAGATTATCTTAAACAATAATGCCTGAAGACCATCTAGACCATCCAACGGTTGCAGCTACAGACTCTCAAGATTCAGGTTCTGCAACAACTGCAGCTCTTGTTTCTTCTCCGTCAACAACAGCAGTTTCAACCGCAACAACTACTGCTGATTCTTCAATTATTATGGATTCATCTTCTAAACAAAATTTCTCACAATCATCGCCATTAACTTCACCAGTAGCAGCCACTTCTGGTATTGCTGTTTCTGCTTCATCAGCCTTATCAGATTCTAGCAATAATAGTACTAGTTACAACAATAATACTAATAATATCAATTCCAATTCTAATAATATTAATACCTCTAATAATAATAATAATAATAATAATAATCTTAATACCACATCACCAGAACATGCTCAAGACCTTGCAGACCGTCTTTCTCAAGTAGCTCTCGGCCAATCTCGTCTTCTTCCTCCAGAAACCAATTCTTATGAGCATTTTTCGCTTCCTACCACTCGAGTGAGTCATTTTTTTTATTATTTTTTGATAATTTTTTTTTTTTTTTTTTGGGGAGGAGGGGATTTATTATTAAAAAAAAACATTTTCCATTCGATTCTGTTTTTTTTTTTTTTTTTAAACAATAATAACAACAATCATCACCCAATTAAAAAAGTTTAAAATTTTTAAATTTTTTTTTTTAAAAAAAAAAAAACTTTTTACTTCTTCCCAACAGACAAACAAAACCCTTCTCTCACCTTCTCCTTCTTTTACCCTCCTTTATAGAATATTTCCCTAACCTTATAATCCTTTAGGTCCCGTCTAATGAAACCGAGGGTCCCGGGTCAACCACCTCATCAAGACATGCTTCGGTCGCAGAACCTTCTTTAGATAACAACTCTCCAACTACAACAGCAACAACCAATAATATTCATCAACAACAACAACAACAACAACAATTCACTTCTTCTCCCATATCTTCAGCCTCTCCTCAACAGGCCCCACATGAATTCCCTCATCCTTCAACAATCGCTCCGACACAGCTTTCGGAACGTCCTGTTCTTGCTTCAAGACCCTCGGCTGCTTTCTTAAATGCCGCTGCTGACCCCTATTCATCCTCCTCTCCATCCTCAAGTGAACCCTCTTCTCCAAGAACTGGCTCAAGACCAGGCTCTCCTGATCCCATTGCTTCAACTGCAGGTACTAATAATACCACACCAACAACAACTTCATCTGTTCGCAAACAAAACCGCTCTCCTATCCATTCAAGAGATGTTTCACCAGCTGGAAGACTTGTTCCTCCACCTACCAATTCCTCCATTAAAACTACTACGTCAACTACTGCCCCCTTGGAAAAGCACAAGTCTTCTCGTTTTAAACTTTCTTCAAAACTTAAAAAGGCTGCCCATTGGGACCTTCACTCTTCATCTTCCCATTCAACACCAGCACCTACTAATACCCAACAATCTTCCCGTGGTCCTTCAGATCATCATTTTCCTCATCCTAATCCTCCTCCTGCTCCTCACTTGCACCACCACCATGACTCTGACGATAACCTTGCATCCAAACATAGATCTCATGGCTCTATGATGGAACTTAAACGTTTCTTCAAGTCTAGTTCTAAAAAATCAGAAGAAAAGAAACGTCCCACTTCTTATCTTTCTAGCCGCATTTCCTCCCACTCAACTCCAGCTGTCCCCATTGACCCAGCTCAAGCCGAAGCAAACCATCGTGCGGAAATTGCCGCCGCTTCTAGCGCCTTTTTATCCAAATCTGGCTCTTCCGCATCTCTTAAAGATATGCCCTTTGCCGAAGATGGGTTCAAAAAATACGGCAAAATTGGCCGCGTTTTGGGCTCCGGTGCCGGTGGTTCTGTCCGTCTTATGAAGCGTAACTCCGATGGTACCACTTTTGCCATTAAAGAGTTTAGACCTCGCCATCCCAATGAGTCTCAAAAGGATTATGCCAAAAAAGTTACTGCCGAATTTTGTATTGGTTCTACTCTTCACCACCCCAACATTATCGAAACCCTCGACATTATTCAAGACGAGGGCAAATACTTTGAGGTCATGGAGTACTGTCCCTTTGATTTCTTTGCCATTGTCATGTCGGGTAAAATGTCGCGCGGCGAAATTGGCTGTACTTTTAAGCAGATTCTTAATGGTGTTACCTATCTCCATTCAATGGGTCTTGCCCACCGTGACTTGAAGCTCGACAATTGTGTTGTCACCACTGAGGGCATTGTCAAGATTATTGATTTTGGTTCTGCTTCTGTCTTCAAGTACCCCTTTGAAAATGAAGTTGTTCGCGCCCGTGGCGTTGTTGGATCTGATCCTTACCTTGCTCCAGAAGTTCTTACTCAACCCACCTATGACCCCCAGCCTACAGACATTTGGTCACTTGCTGTTATTTTCTGCTGCATGACTCTCCGCAGATTCCCCTGGAAGGTCCCTCGCATGGCGGACAATTCCTTCAAGTTGTTTGCGACCAAGCCTACCAAGGAAGAAGAAGAGTCGTACTTCCAGATGGGCCAAGAAAAGGAAAAGGAAAAGGAGCAGCAGCAGCAGCCAGCCAAGGATGCACCCAAGATTGTCATTAAGGGTCCTTGGAGACTTCTGCGGCTACTCCCCCATGAAAGTCGCCATATCATTGGCCGTATGCTGGAAATTGATCCTACCAAACGTGCCACTTTGACTGAAATTTGGGCTGACGAATGGATTAAGAAACTCCACATGTGTACTCTTGATAAGACTGGAAAGTTTATCAAGTCTGGTACTCATGAACATACATTTGTTGCTGAAGAAGAAGCTCATCTTGAGTCTTATAAGAAATAAGTAGTAAATGGGGAAGGAAGGATAAAACAGGAAAAATATATATATATATATATAGGAGTTTAAGTACATGTGTTTGTATGGTTTTTTTTTATTGTATTCATAAAAACAATAATAATAATTGTATCTATTCTATCTATCAATTTCTATATATATAAATATATACAAATATATAAAAAAGTACTGTATTCAACTTGAGGTCTAGTAGATTTCCTATTTAGGACATCACGTGAAGCACGTGAGCTGCATGAAATATTTTATAGGCAAAAATTTTTTTTTTTTTTTTCTTCTCCCCAAAAAAATAAAAAAAAAATTAAAAAAAAAAAAAAAAAAAAAACTCCAAAAAATTTCTGCCCACTCAAAAGACTTTCTTTTCCCATCACCATCAAGGACTTTTCTTAGGACTTTTCTTAAAGAATATCCAAATTTTCCAACCTCCAACTTCCAAAATTCCTTTCCTTTACGAATCTCTTTCCCACCCTGAATCGCAAATGCGCAACCTCGTCGTTCTCGGCGGCTCTTCACACCCGGCACTTGTTGACCGTGTATGCCGCAACCTAAACATTTCGCCCTGCGAAGCCACTCTCTCCAAATTTGCCAACGGCGAGACTTCAATCACCATCAAAGAATCTGTCCGTGAAAAAGATGTTTATGTCCTGCAATCAGCCTCCGGAGCTGTCAATGATCACTTTATCGAACTCCTTGTCATGATCTCTGCTTGTAAAACTGCATCGGCACGTAAAGTAACGGCCGTTCTTCCGCTCTTCCCCTACTCAAGACAACCCGATGCGCCGTATGCCAAGCGCGGCGCACCTCTCAAGAAAGTCGGTGGAACCGCTGGTTCTAACGGTGCCTCATCTTCTGGTGCTACAGGTACCAACGGGTCTCAAAAACCATTCACTTTTGAATCGGTTCCTTCCTCTCCCAAACCAGCTAATATACCCTCTGGGAATTCATCTTCTCTTACCCCCCTCGCTCTCACCTCTTCGCTTAACCGTCTCGCGCTTAATCAACGCCCGGCTTTAGCACGCACAGATTCATGGCAACCAGAAGCCCCCTCGGGACATATTGAAACAAACACCGGATACAAGGAATGGGTTGCCCAACCAGGAACCCTTATTGCATCGTTGCTCATGGCTGCCGGCGCTGACCACATCATTACCATGGACCTGCACGACCCCCAGTTTCAAGGTTACTTTGACGTCCCTGTTGATAACCTGTACGGTCGCCCATTGCTGCAGCACTACATTACAACCTGTGTCCCCAACTATGCCGATGAGGCCGTCATCGTGTCACCGGATGCTGGTGGTGCCAAGCGTGCTACTGCGGTTGCCGATGCTCTCGGCATGCCATTTGCTCTGATCCACAAGGAACGTAGACGTGCTGTTCCTGGCTCTGCTACTGGTGGAACTGTGACACCGACACCTGGGTCTCCTGGTAATGTTTCTGCTGCAAGTATTGTGGGTGCTGCAGCCCGTCGTCTGGCCACTACCATGCTTGTAGGAAATGTTCATGGCAAAATTGCAATTCTTGTTGACGATCTGGTCGATACTGCAAACACTATTACCCGAGCAGCCAAGCTGCTGAAGGATCAGGGAGCAACAATGGTGATTGCAGTTATTACCCATGGCATTTTTTCTGGTGACGCAATTGAGCGTATCAATGCAAGTGCCATTGACAAGGTTGTGACCACTAATACCGCACCTCAAGACGAGCATATGGCACAGCTCGGCGACAAGCTTGAGGTTCTTGATGTTGGCCGTGTATTTGCTGAGGCCATTCGTCGCATTCACAATGGTGAGTCTGTGTCGATGCTTTTTGACCATGTGGGTATTTAGAAAGATAAAAAATAATATATATATATATATCTATATATATTACAGTTTGATACCCATTTTACAAATTTATAGGCATCATCATTTATAAAGCATTTTTTTGTTTCATTCAAAATGGTTAGTTATTTAAAAAACAAACAAATAAATAAAAAAAAAGACCTTTACTATTCAAAAAAAAAAAATAAAAAAAAAACTATTCAAATATTCAACTTGGGGTGGAGATATCACCAATCAATAGTGTCCAGATTTCCAAACGGTTTGCTGACCTCCAATTCTTCTAACAACCCGTCTACATTTCCTAAAAATTTTCTCAACCCGTTAGCCTTTTCCCTGGTAGTTTTCCTTCCTGTGCCATTATTATTATTATTAATGTTATTATTGTTATTGTTATTGTTATTGTTATTGTTGTTGTTATTGTTGTTACTGCTCTGTTGGCACTCTGGGATCAAGTAAAAGAATAAAAATTCGAGGATCCGCAGCTTGACATCTTTAGGCGTTTGCGATGCACGAAATAACCGACACATAACGGCAACCCCATCACACTGCTCAAACTGGCGAATCGTGGCCGGCTCGTGCACCATTGCAGATACAAGTGTACTAATTGCAGCAACTTGGATCTGGGGGAGATGCATAATCACAAGCGAAGATTCGTCCAATGGAGCGGCAACCGCCGCACCTCCACTTGTAGACCGCTTGTGGCTAACAGCTGAAGTTTCAGACCCACTTACTTGCGATGCAACTTGTTTATCATATACTAACAGTTCCAAAATTCCAAGCATCGCGGCCTTGCGTGCATATAACCCTCGCGATGGCGCATGTAATAGTAAAGCTCCTTGTAATAAATCTAGTGCATGTTCAAGTGCATTCCCAAGACGTGCCAGAGTCTGGGCCACGCTTTGCATTCGGGCCCATGTCTCACTATCTCTGATCTGCTGATGGTGGACTGAAGCTGAGCTCACATCTGAGCCTGCTACGGAATCGTCGTCATCCAAAGAAGATTCGTCACCGCGTGCAGCTGTAGCCCGGTAAACGCTTGCCGCTGCAGCTCTTGCTGAGCCTAATCCTGCGGTGTAGCAACCCGTTCCCTGTGATTTTGTAGAGGCTCCTAGGGGGATCACCCCTTGGCCTGCCATCATGTCAGCCACTGAAACTGTTCTTGTGACTTTCCTATATCTACCGGTTGTATTTTTAGTGGTTGATGATCCACTTGTACTACTGTCTCTGCTGTTTTCATCTTCTTCGTAATCGTCCTCTAAATCATCAAACGCATGCAACGCCCAGGTGTTACGACGGTACTCAGCTACAAGCCGAGCCACCACGGCAATAAGCCGGGCAGCCACGTTGTATGCATAGTGAGATTGAAGAGCTGCGTAGCAAGCGTATGCTGAGGAGGCATCAAGGGACGATGTAAAGGAGACTGGTTGTTGGGTTAAGGGATCTGTGAAGGAGGGCAATGGTGATGGTGATGGGTTGTTGGTGTGGTTGTGGTTGTTATTGTTATTGTTATTGTTTGAAGGATGGGATGATGAAGATAAGGCAATGTCACGGAAAAGAGAGTCGATGCGGACAAGACCTGAGGCCAGAGTAGCCAGGTCTGATGTTGGATCTAGGTCGAGGAATGTGCGATCTAGATAAGTGTCCATATGTATATTTTAAGGAGTTTGAAGATTTTAGAGATTTTAAAGATTTTAAAGATTCTGGAGATTTCGAGAAATGTCTTGTTGTAGGAGGTTTAGTGGGTGGGGTTTAGAGAGGCTGAGAAAAACAAACAAAAAAAAATAAAATAAAGTTTGATTACCAGGTAACTTAGTATTAAGTTACTTAGTGGTAAAGAAATTTGACAGGGTGGTGACAACAACGCGTCGTCCCCTTGAAAAAGCTTGTTTTTTTTTCAAGTAAAGTTTAAGGAGACAAAAATAGGCATGAAAAGAAAGGCGGAATTCCAGGAGAAAAAAAAAAATGATGAAAATTTAAGGAGATAAACAAGAAAAAAATTTTTTTTTTGGAAGAGGGGGGGGGGGATAGAAACTGAGAGAGAGAGAATGAGATGTTTGAAAAAAAAAAAACTTTCAGATATGTTGGAAAGGGAAAAAGAAAGAAAAAGTTTTTAATAGGAAATTTCCAAATGATTGTTAAGATGATTTATATGAATGAAAAAAAAAATTAGATAAATATTAGAAGGAAATATAAATTTATATATATATTATTATTAACAATTGAAATATTTTTAGATTCTAAAGTAATTTGAAAAAAAAAAAAAAAAAAATTTGAGGAAACTAGTAGGACTTGTAGCAGGTCAATTGACATAATTATTAAAATCTTAATTCAATTCATTTAAATCATTTAAATCTTTTGAATTAAGATTTTAATGGGAATAAGAATAGAAAACCTTTTTTGATTTTTACAAGTAAATAAATATTGTGAAAAAAAAAGAGTACTTTTGTAAAGTTTATAAAAATGCCCTCAAACTAAATAATTAAAAAAAAAACCTCCCCTTTAACATTTTCAAATATCTAAGCAATTAGAATCTTTAAAAAAACATTATATTTTTGTTAATTTCAAGTTTAATCAGATTTTAACCCAGTTAATTTTTTTTTCTTTTAAAGAAATCAATTCAAAGTCTGTTGTCAATTAAATATGCATTTTATTCAATCCCCAACAGTCAACTATCCCTCAAAGTTATTTTAATTTTTTCCCCTCTATCTACCCTATTTACACAAAATTCTATCAAACAAAAATCTCAATTTTTCAAATTTTTCCTTTTTTCTTTTTTCTTTTTTTTTTTTTCAAATGACAATTTCATTTATAAATTTACAGTTTCCATTAATTTCCTTCTTCCATCAAATCCCCTTCTTTTTTTAGTCTCAAATCTCTCCCTCTAACTACCACCACCACTTTTTTTTTTTTGTCAAACTTCCACACGTGACTGCGGCATATTTTTTTGGCTCTCTTTCAAACCCACCAGATTTTCCAACTTTCCATACTACGAAAAAAACTAAAATCCCCACCTCCCACCAAAATCCCTCCAACAAACTTCAGCCATGATCTCCGCCATCATCATATATAACCTCAAAGGTGAGGTCCTCATCTCGCGTCTTTACCGTGATGGACTGCGGCGTTCCATTGCTGATGTCTTTCGTATTCAAGTCATTTCAAATCCCGACAGCAGGTCACCGGTCTTAACCCTTGGGTCTACCTCCTTTTTGCATATTCGCCATGAAAACCTCTACATTGTAGGAATTACACGATCCAACGTCGATGCTGGACTCGTCTTTGAGTTTCTTTATAAGCTTGTCGACCTGGGAAAGTCGTACTTTGGCACATTTGATGAGAACGTTGTCAAAAATGGGTTTGCTCTTATATACGAGCTGCTTGACGAGGTCCTGGACTTTGGCTTCCCACAAAATACAGAAATCGAAACCCTCAAGCGATACATCACTACAGAAGGCCTCAAAACTTCAACAAACACAGCATCCAGCGTGGTCAACCTGGCACGTATTGGCAAAAAGGACGATTCCAGTAGTAACGGCAATACAAAGTCCAAGGGTGCTATCACGACCCAAGCAACATCGGCCACACCTTGGCGTCGCCCAGGCATAAAGTACCGCAAGAACGAGGTGTTTGTAGACATTTTCGAAGACCTCAACTTGCTGATGAGTGCCACAGGTAGCGTCATCAAAGCGGACGTTGCAGGTCGCGTCATGCTTAAAACCCATCTGTCAGGACAGCCCGAGTGCAAGTTTGGTCTCAATGACTCGTTAACTCTCAACACGCGTGACGTTTTTGACGACGAAGGTGACAATGACGATGACGACTCCAATATTGGCCACATGGCCAATGCCGGCGCAGTCAAACTCGAAGACTGCCAGTTTCACCAGTGTGTCCGACTCGATGACTTTGACAGTGACCGCATCATCTCCTTCATCCCGCCGGACGGCGAGTTTGAGCTCATGCGGTACCGTGCTGTGGAAAACATTAATCTGCCGTTCCGCGTCATTGCTCAGGTTACCGAGGTGGGCCGTCTTAAAGTTGACTATGAAATCACCGTCAGAGCAAATTTTGGCGCTAAGCTTTATGCAACTGATGTGGTCGTACATGTCCCAACCCCACTCAATACTACAGACACAACGTGCTCGACCTCCGGGGGTAAGGCAAAGTATGATCCGGCAGTTAACCAGATTGTGTGGCGCGTTGGACGGTGTGCTGGTGGAGCAGAATATTCGTTAAGAGCATCCGCACAACTCACTTCAACTACGGTTCTTAAGCCTTGGACACGTCCGCCCATCTCCATGGACTTTTCACTGTCCATGTTCACCTCATCTGGTATCATGGTGCGGTACCTCAAAATCTTTGAAAAGGCCAACTACGCGACCGTCAAGTGGGTCCGCTATTTGGTCCGTGCAGGGTCTTATGAAATTAGGTATTAAATAGAAAGAAAGTATTTACAATATAGTTTGGTTAATGTACAATTGGTCAAGAGATTCAGCTGGTTGCCAGCTCAGTAAAAACCCTGCATCCGCCTTAAGCTCCAGAAAATTGGCCGTCCACAGGAAAAGTTCCGCCCGCAGGTCCTGCACAGACCGAGCAGTGCCATCGCTAGTAAAAGCTGGAATGGCTCGTGCATGACATGCTCTCACCAGTTCCCGCTCGTTGAGTGCCCACACGGCTGCACCAACCACATTCTCGCGTACTGGCGATTGAGTCCACGCAAGCATATAACTATCTGCACGGACCTGCGACAAGTGAGCTTCAAGTCGGCGCGCAAGGCTATTGTGTGAAAGAACCCGGGCTGCAAACTGTGGGACGGCCCCCACAGTCACTGTTAAGTCTCGTAAAGCGTCAGTCTTCAACTTGTATGGTGATGTTCCAAAGGCTACCTTTGGATAATGCTTCCCATGGAGATTATTGATGAGAGCCTCACGGCGGGCCACTGCCTTGCGTTCTTGACCAGGAAGAATGCAAGTTGATGGGACAATTCCTGGGAAGATCATTACGAGGAGTGGTGTGGTTTCGAAAAAAATGCAAAAGATGATACTGAACAGTGGTAGTTTGAAAGCATCTTTTGGAGTTCTCAAAAGAGTCTGGTATTGTGCCCGAGTAATACCAACCTCAATGTCGGTATAAATAGTCGGGTCCTTTGAGTCTCCACGTTCGTGCTCAATCGCTATTCGGTCCGCAGCAGCCTTATCCAGAATTGTTTGGGTCACAGCCTCTGCACTACTTGGACGCGATGATCCAGCAGCTTTTTGAAACGTTTTGAGCAACTCACGACTACTCTTATAATTGTGCCATACATTAACAATCCCGCTCTTGTATAACTTGACAATCTGTTTGCCTTTTGCAAACAGACCCGTGGCATTGGGGTCCATCACATGGGGAAGTGTTGTAATAGCATTTGCAGTATCAGTAAGTCCAGCCGTTGGAACCCGTCGCAGCACATATAACAGAGACACAAGCGGTCTTGCCAGCGGAACTGCGGCGCCCGCGCGAACAACCAGTTGGGAAGACATAAATGGTTTGATGGTGGTGATGCTCGAATCCGGCAGGTGCAAAAAAAAAAAAAAAATAAAAATAAAAATTAAATTTTAAAAAAAAATTAAAACTTACACGCCGCATGTAATTTAGCAGCAGCTTTTCCTTTTCAAAATTCTGGCAAACCCACCACCACCAAATATTCCAATCACCCTTTTTGCTATCCTTCCCATCCCATCCCATCCCATCACCCCCCAACAAACCTCCCAAAAATTCCACCATCTTCATTATCTTCATCATCATGTCCATAGAAACCCACCAGCTTCTGGTCGGGTGCGCTGTCGGTGTTGTGTCGGCGGCAACACAAGCGCTGGGACTTACGCTGCAGCGCAAGTCACATCTCGACAATGACGCGCTAGCGCCTGAGCTGCGCGTGCCGGCGCCTCGCCGGGCTCTGTGGCGCGCAGGCGTGCTGCTTTTCTTAGTGGCAAACATTGTCGGATCATCCGTCCAGATCACCACTTTACCACTCATTGTGCTTTCGCCGCTGCAGGCCGTGGGGCTTGTTTTCAACTCACTCTGCGCTGCTTGGGTCCTCCATGAACCCCTCACGCGCCAATCTGTCGCAGGAACACTCCTCGTATCGGCAGGCGCTCTCATAGTTGCTGCATGGGGTGTTGTCTCCGAGTCAGCAAAACCACACAACCTAGATGAGCTGTTGCGACTCTTGCGCCGTCCCCAGTTTCTCGTCTGGATGGGCGCAACTATGCTGCTGGTTGCAGCTGTCCTGGTTGTTATTTCACATCGCACAAATCACCCAGCCGTCCCCATCTCAAAATCCTCTGATTTCATTGACGGCGACGATCCTCAAGGCATCCCGGCTAAGCAGCGTTTAATTTCAGGGCTTCTTTATGCCGTGGTTTGCGGCATTCTCTCGGCCCACTCGCTGCTCATGGCCAAAAGCGCAGTCGAAATTCTCGTCCGCGCCTTTGTCGACGGCAAGTCCAAGGACCTGCGGCACTACCAGAGCTGGCTCATTGTTGCCGCCTTTCTAGCCTTTGCCGTCTCTCAACTCGTTTTCCTCAACCGCGGCCTGCGTCTTTGCTCAACCGCTGTGCTTTATCCTCTCGTTTTTTGCGTCTTCAATGTCGCCTCTATCCTCAACTCTCTAATATACTTCCAGCAAACAGCCCAAATGTCGGCTCTTCAAGGCCTGATGGTTGCCTTTGGAACCTTGCTCATCTTAGCTGGTGTCCTTGGCCTTTCATGGCACCTGGGCTGGCATGATACCCTGGCCCTCACGGGGCCCGCCGCCCAGGCAATTGCAGAAGCACAAGAAAATGACCCTTATAAATCAAACCCGCAGTCTCCAGGCTTTGCAGCTTGTGATTCGGCTGCAACATGCGTCGAGCCACTGCTTCAACCTGTTGTCGCTCCAGACAAGCTACCGCTGCTTCAGCATCGGCATGTATAGACGTTTTAAAGTACTTTGGACATATATTTTAAATCAATAATAATAAAAAAAATTAGCTAATTAACTTCTTTGGGAACTGTAAAAGCCCCGCCCAAGTTGAGGGCCCGTTCGTCCCAATTGTGGTGCTCGTACGACAGTACTCCGGAACCACCAGCTTCAAGAATAAGAGCAATGGGTTGCGATCCTTCAATGCGCAACTTGAGCCAGCGCATAGTCAACGAGCGCAGAATGTGACCGTGAGCAACAATAACAACATCGCCATACCGACCCTCGGAAACGGCCTTTTGCTGAACCTCAATGACCTGAGCAATAAAGGCATCTAGTCGAGCAGTCACATCGGCAGGTTTCTCGCCGCCTTCACACCCGTCGCGCCAGATAGTCCATTTTGGATCGTCCTTGGTTTGGGTTCCACGCTTAATCCTCAGCTCAATTATCTGTGGAGTTGTGAGTCCCTCGTAGTCACCATAATCCCACTCGCGCACTGCTTCGGTAACAACCTCATTGACTTCAGGCAAAGGCTTGGGCTGAGCGTCACAATTGGCCAGCAGTAAGTCAAGTGTTTCACGAGCACGCGCGCGCGGAGAAACAAACACGGTCTCAACATGCCTTAAGTCGACGAGACGATCAGGTCCAATGAGCGCGCGGCCGACGGCAGCCACGCGACGCACACCTGTTGGCGTCAAGTTCAAGTCTGTTATCGACGTATATTGACCGGAAAGCGACCACTCGGTCTCTCCGTGGCGGAAGAAAATCACTCGGGGTGTAGTCCCGGCAGGGGTAATAGCTTTTAAAAAGACCCGGTTAACCATTTGCGGGCAAAATGGGGAGGGGAAGACCCGATTCATACGCACCTTTTGACATTTGATAAGTTAATGGTAAGAAGACAAAATTCACTCAGTGGCTTCAAATTGACCCGCAAACGTATTTTATAGGAGAAACTAAAAACCTTATCTACTAAAACCATCCTCAAAGAAAAAAAAAATCTACAAAGGCACCGGGACACGCCGGTCCGCAGGGTCCTTGCCATACGACACTGCCCACCCGGCATACCGTGCACTTAGCCCGGCATCACTCTTACGCTCAAATGCCTTCTTGGCCCGAATTGCGTGCCGCGTGTCTGCATATTGCACTGCTATATTCACGTGGTTCAAAATTAGCGGTGTGATACTAAGCACAGGCCCAAACCTCCCAAAGTCCCGTGCAATTGTTTCTAATGACACGTCCATCGCAACGTTCCGTGATGAAACCATTGGCTTGATCGATGATATGCGTCCTCCACCATTCCCAGTTGCTCCTACTGTGACTGTTGTTGTTGTTGCTGCTGCTGCTGCCACGGCCGCTTCACGCTCCAACCTGTCGCGGTGCCGCATCGTTAGGCAAATACACCGGCGCGCATGGTTATACACCATCTCATCAAACACAACCTTGGGGAACGCATATACAGCTGCCAAACTAGCATTCCCCCATCTCGGGCGGTATCCCGTGCCGTTAATTAAAAACCGGCCGCTCATTGTGTACTCGTAAAAGGCCTGTGCGTTCTGGGCTTGGAAAAAGTGCAGCTGTACAATGCGCGGGTTCGAGCTGTCCTCGGGCACCGCAACCACCCGCTCTAACGGACCCCCACATACCTGCGCCAAAATCGAATTGAGTCCAACCTCTCCAGGGATTCCGTCAAAACAAACAATCCGGTCAGACTTGGCCAGCGTCGTCGTTGTAACAACTAAAACTAGTTAATTGATGGGTCCAACACAATTGATTACATTCTACTACTCACCACTGGGCTTGGCCCGAGTGCTCCCTCCATCAAACTCTTTTACAAGCTGATGTGCAGGCTTCTTGTCAATCTCACCATGAACCAACAAATTGTCTGAATCATCTTTATCATCATCAAAATTGTCCCCCATAATTGTCAGAACAGGTTTGGTTTGCGTGGGACCCAAGTGTGATGGCGACGACACGGACCGGTACTTGCGTCCTCCAAACAACCACCGGTGTGCTCCTCCACCTCCACCACCAGCATCATTTGATGCTCTCCGCTTTGAAAATACCCCACGCGATGGTGGATCCAAGTTATCATTGTCGCCGTTCAAGATCCCTAGTGGGTTACGCGATGCCGAAGAAGCTGATCTAAACCGAGATTGAGAAGCCATAATGCGATGAGAAAAAAGTCAATTTTTGTATTTTTTTTTAAAAAAACCGTGTTGAAGGTTACAGAGTGGACAATTAAGTCCTAGCTATTTATATGTTTTTTTTTTCTCCGCTCTCTATGTCCAACAGCTAGCTTGTAGTATTTCGAGCTCACTGTCGCGGCATCTTTTTGGGAATCGCGCCCATCTCGTCCAGATCCTTTTGCTTGTAGTAGTGCGGCGCAACCTCCACCAGCCATTCGGGTCGCAAAGGCATACAGTTACGCATAAACTCTTTAGAAGTTAGCACCAACTCATGATACAACAACCACTTGGGCTTGTGTGCAAACAGTACGCTCGAAGGGTGAATGTGCACCGTCTGCCGCGTCTTCACTACTTGATAGCTGTCTCCGGATCGTGACATTTTGGCTGTGTGCGCAAAGAACCCAGCTGCTATAGCCTTTTGGATCAACTCTGTACCTTCATGGGCTCCCTCAGGTAAACTGCGCACCTCGACTTCAACTCGCTCGCACAAACGTTCTAATTGGTCACGCACGTCTCGAGCTCTCGTCAGAGATCGGAACTGCAAAAAGTTATCTTGTGCCCATTGATATGAGTAGTCTGCCTCCACCCACTGTCGCCAAACTTCTAGCAACGTCAAATGGTCACCCCCTTGTTGAGTAAACGCTTCGCGCGCTTGGTCAGCGTATAACTTTTTATCCTTTGGTCGGTAAAACAATGCTGAAGCCTCGCCCAGCATCGACACTATCGACAAAACCTCGTCCACACATCCATACTGGTCGCTGGCCAAAATGGCTTTTGCCAGCATGGGGTCTGTGGGGAACTCGGCCATTTGTCTGCCAAGACGTGTCAGCTGGCCACGGTCGTTGAGTGCGCCCAGTGCATACAGAAGCTCCAAAGCCTTAATGAGCGCACTGGCCGGCGGCGCGTCCAAAAAGTCAAAGTTCATAATGTCGTTAATCCCCAGTGACATGAGTAGCAAAACAACACTCCCCAAGTTGGTTCGTAAAATTTCAGGGGTAGTATTAGGAGGAAGCTCGTTATAAAAAGCCCATTTGGTATACAGCCGGAAACACTTGCCTGGCCCAACACGACCCGCACGACCCGCACGCTGATCAGCAGACGCCCGCGAGCACGGAGTCACAACAAGACTCTCCATACCAGATCGTGGGTTGTACACGTTTTCTTTGACAAACCCAGGATCAATTACAAATACAATGCCATCAATTGTAATGGATGTTTCTGCAATGTTAGTTGCAAGAACAACCTTGCGTGCGCCTTCAGGAGTGGGCTCAAAAATCTTCGATTGCAGCTCCGCAGGGAGATTAGCATAAATTGGACATATAATCATGTCTGGAATCTTTTTGCCTAGTTTCCGCGCAGTATCGGCTAGATTTTCTGCTGCAGTTTCAATTTCATCTTGACCGGTTAAAAAAACTAAGATATCTCCTTTTTTTTGCGTCACATGAATTTGAAACACAGTCGTGATAGCGGCATGCAAATAATTTGCCTCTGGTTGCTTGGTGTAGTACACATCCACTTCGAAGCGGCGGCCAGGTACGTTGTAAATTGGCGCACCGTCAAAATACTTTGAAAACTTTTCTGCATTCAAAGTAGCAGACGAAATCAATAACCGCAGCTCTGGCCGGTACTTTGCAATATCCTTGAGCAGACCAAACAAAATGTCAGTGTGTAAAGTACGTTCGTGCGCCTCATCAATCATTATGGCAGAATAAGACGACAATTCAGGATCTGTGAGAAACTCTCGCAACAGCATACCGTCTGTCATGTATTTGATGACGGTCTTGTCAGAACTCTTGTCTTCAAAACGAATCGTGTAGCCAACCTCGCCACCTAATCGGCACCCCATTTCGTCAGCAACACGAGCGGCAACTGACATGGCAGCCACTCTTCTAGGTTGCGTGCATCCGACCTTCATCCCATTTTTGGTGTATCCAGCCTCGTGCAGATATTGAGGCAACTGGGTGGTTTTACCAGAACCTGTTTCACCAACTACAATCAACACTTGGTGGTCCTTGATAGCCTCCAGTAAGCCCTTACGATGAGCATACACTGGTAAAGACTTGCGTGTATCTTCGATTGTTTTGATCCGTTTGCGTTCTTCCTCTATGCGCTTTTCCAGCAATTTCTGTTCCTCAGTTTCTTTTGAAACATGATCCGTTATGAAGTCAATGTGCTGCGAATCGTCAAACACGTATTCATATTTTTCTTCGGACTTTAGTTTTTTCCGTGAGCTAACTGTGGCTTTCTGTTGCTGCTCCTTTTCCCAGGCTTCATTTTCTGCCGTTGCTTCGCTCTTTTCCACAGGTTTGTATCGCTGGTAAAGCACAGATTCCTTCTTTTTCTTGTCAATTTTGCCCTGTTTAGTAAAGTAGTCTTCTGGAAGCTGGTATTCTTCTGTGGAATTTTTGCTGCGTTTGCGTTCCCGCGAAATGTCCAAAATCTCCCGTTTATACTTGTAGTCCTGTTGTTCCCGACGCGACAAGTAGTCCCATCCGTACTTTTCAATATCTTCTTCTAAAAACTCAACTTCTTTGGCTAAAAGCTCAAGTTTTTGTTCTTCACGTACTGTAAGGTATCTTTGACGGGATATTTTTCTTAATTCGCTAAATTCTTCCGGTTCTTTTAAACTACTCTTTGATTTTTGAGAAAGTTCCTCCTTAGGTGTCTCTTTAGAAGACTTGTTAGGTGATTCAGATTTTTCTTTATTTTCTTCTCTCTTTTTTGGTGCTGGTTTTTCTTGTTCGTCTTCGCTTAAATCACGCCGTTTTTTCCGCGGCTTAATGACCAGCTCGTCGCCCAGTTCATCGTCCAGAAGAAGTTCGTACTGCGCAGAACTCTTCTTCCTTGTCGGTTCTTGCTTGATTAACTTGCCCGGATTAACTCGACCAAAAAGTTCCGTAATAAAGGTCTTTGCTTCTTTTGTAGATGGCAGTCCTACATCTCCAAGTGTTAAGATTAACGCAGATGCAGACTTTGCAGCACGAGCCGCAGCAACACAAAAATCAATTGTGTTTTCATCGCTGGCTCCTAGAATCTGAGTAGTTAGATTATTGCAATTGATATTGGCCCAAATGCCGTTAATTTATTTTTATGAAACGTACCTGCTGTAGTTTGTCCGAAACCCAATAATTCAAGGCCGACATGGTTAAGTGATGCAGATTTATTTACTTAGCACCCGTCCTGAGCCTTTTGCACCAAACAAAAAAGTTTTGATTTAAAAAAGTGATGAAGGCCGGGTAACTGTAAAGTGTAATGTCATTGTTTCTTGCAACAAATATCACCTACTCGGGTTCTCATTTTAGAAAAGCTGCCAAGAGTCCCGTGTCTCATTTTTTTAAAATTCATCGGTTCTTAATAATTCCGTCGCACCGGACTTCTCGGGTGCCCACCCGCAATCTCCGTTTTTTTTAGTCAAAGATTAAAAATAACCCTCTTTTGGTTCGTTACAACTTTGTTACATTTTGATTTTTTTTTTTCATATCCAACCACCACCACCAAAAAAAAAAACCTCCGCCCTGGCCTTTTTTTTTTTTTTTTTTTTTAATCACCATTACAAAACACCACCACCACCACTACCAAATCCTCAACATCCACTAAGCCCTTAGCAAAGCCTTGAAAAAAAAAATCACCACCGCCATACACTACCCATCATAAAAAGCCAATATTCATATTTCGACCTTAGAAAAAAGGCCGCATTTTTAAAAGAAAAAATAACCAGTCTAGTCCTGCAATACTTAATAGCCGGATCTTCTTAAATTTCAAGCATATAGTAAGTTCCGCGTCATTTGGGCATAACCTGTAATTTCCAGAGTAATATGCGTAATATGCGCATTGTTTGCCTTTAGTGGATCATCATTCCCTTCTCCTCCTTTCCTATAGCTAACCCTGTTTCTTCAATTAGTATCCTAAAGATCATTTTAAATGGCTCGGCCTAGATCAAGAAAACAAAAGCACTCCGATGACCATCTTGCGGGTTCATCCATGGCAGCTACCCCCACGGGACCCTCATCCACCTCGGCTGCAGCAAAGCCCTCTCAAGACCCGGCTTTAGAACCCGGATCAAAGTTAGTCTACTCAAAAGATGGAACCAAAGTTCTTGCTGTCAAGCGTACAGGTAAACAGCAGCAACAGCAGTCTCAACAGCAGACTCAACAACCCTTACAACATGTACATCAGCAAGCACAACAGCAGCATGCCCACCTCCATCTCCATAACCAACAGCATCACCATCTTCACCATCACCACCACACCCATCATCATGGCCATCACGCTCATACCTCCGCTCATGGCCGCTCACACTCTCCGACATCCTCTTCGGCCCCTTCTTTATCCTCCTCCCCTGACGTTTCGGCACTTGGCGTTCAGCAGGGTCTCTCGTTTACCCCCTACTTTTCCGACGAGGAGGAAGATATTCAATTTGTTGCTGGTGAAACTGTAAATTTTGAATATGTCGACCCTAGACCTGTATCTAGGAATGCCACATCTTCTTTTTCTGCAGGTTTTAAGTACTCTCCAAGTCGTTCAGCGTCGCCATCTACCGCCAGTGCGGCACAAACAGCTTCTGTCACAGCCACTAGTGGTGGAGCTGCTACAAAGCCTGTAGCAAATTCTCAACAACAACAACAACAGCAGCAGCAGCAGCAACAACAATCACAGCCTCCAAACAATAAGCCGGCTAATAAATATGTTCAAACCCTTATTTTAGAACAAAAAGCAGCCATTGAAGAAATTATTAACGCCGAAAAGTCCCGTGGTGTACCTACCATCCCTTTACCGCCTCCGCCGATCCCATCGTTTTCCACTGAAAAATTAACTTTCCAGGAATTTCTTCAATCAAAGGAGGTTGCTAAGATTCACGATACCGCCAAGAAGTTTGCTCAGCTTCGTCTTCAACAGCTCCAAAATGAAAACTCTCTTTCCGAAGAGCAGCGTGCTCAAGTCGAGTGCTTTCTGGAACATCAACATCTGCTTCCTATATCAACATCATCATCCCTCTCTCTTGACCAACTGCAGCTAGCAAACGAGCAATATGCTGCCAATGTTAACGCCATTAGCTCTCTTGCAACCGTCGCTGCAGCCGCTGCTTTGCATCAGTTTAAGACTAAAGATGTCCTGGATCTTCTTAACGATTCCCCTGAGGCCAACAAGGTGGCAAATGGATCTGCTCAAAGAGATGCATGTCAAGATTTGAACAGTGACGGGTCTTACCCAAATGGCACTCAACAACAACAGCAACTTCAACTTCAACAGCAGTTTCAGCAACAGCAGTTGCAAATGCAGCAACAACTCCAGCAACAACAACTTCAGCAACAAAAGTACCAGCAGCAGTATCAGCAGCAGCAGTATCAACAGCAACAGCTTCATTTACAGCAGCAGCAGCTTCACTTACAACAGCAGCAACAACAACAGTCTTCTTCAACTGGTTCTAAACGTTTTGAAAGTGACAAAATTTGGGATACAAGCTCTGCTGAAGAAAAAGAACGTGTTCGTCAATTTTGGAAAAGTTTATCTTACGAAGAACGCCGCGAACTTGTCAAAATCCCCAAGCAAACTGTCATGCAAGAAATGCGCGAACAAAAGAGAAAAGATTGCAACTGCCACATGTGTGGGAAAAAACGCCTTGCTATTGAAGAACTGGAATCCCTTTATGATGCTTATAATGAGATTGAACAATACTCCGGCGTACGAAATCGCATTGAAGAAGTTGACGAAGAAGGGGATAGCGCCGGCGACTATGATGACCGCAGTCCAGAGAAGGACATGTTTAACTTTGGTAACACTCTTAGCATACAAGGCGGCATTTTAACGGTTGCTGACGATTTGTTGAAAAATGACGGCAAAAAGTTTATCGACATGATGGCTCATCTCAAAGAACAACAACAGCGAACAGAACGGGACAACCTTGATTCCATGACTGAATACCCACCCAGCCAAGACGAAGATGATATTGGAGAGTTTACTGACGATGATGGTAAATATGAAGATGATCTTGAAGATTACGAAGAAGGTGCTTGCGACGAAGAATATGAAGACGTAAGTTTTTTTTTTTAACTTCTTGACTATGATCATAACTAACTTTTTTTCTAGGGCACCGACACGGAAGAAGCTCGATGGGCTGAAAGCAAACAACTTCTTCAAGAGTTTGCTATCAAAATTGTCGAGCAGCGATTGATGAATGCATATCGTGAAAAAGTTGCCAAGGAACGTCAAGAGAAGCTTCTTGAAGAACTTGCTGAGGAAGAGCGAGTTAATGAGGAGCGTGAAGCTAAAAAGGTGCGCGACAAGGAGAGAAAGAAAGAACGCAAGAAACAGCAACGTCAAGCCAAAGAAGAAGAACGAATGCGAAAGGAAGCCGAGTTAGAACGTGAGATGGCTCTTGCTAAGGAGCAACAACGTCAAAAAGCTGAAGAACTTCGTAAGAAAAAGGCGGATCAAAAACTTAAAAAAGAAGCTGAGCGGAAGCGTATTGAAGAAGAGCGCCAACGCAAAATTGAAGAAGAACGGCGAAAAGAACAAGAGAAGAAGGAACAAGAAGAACGTGAGCGGCAGGAACGTGAGGAAAGGCTGCTCAAGGAGAAGAAAAAACGCGAAGAGCAACTACTAAAGGAAAAGCAGGAACGCGAAGCTAAAGAAAAGGCTGAGCGTGAAGCAAAGGAGAAGGTTGAAAAGGAACGCTTGGAACGTGAACGTCTTGAAAAAGAAGAACATGAACGTTTGGAGAAGAAGCAGCGTGAAGAACGTGAACGCGAGCTTCGTGAACAAGAAGAACGTGCTGCCCGTCTCAAGCAAGAACATCAGCAACAACTTTTGCAAAGTCTTAAACAGCACGCTGAGGAGCTTGGTGCACCCACTGCTGTCACAGTTGCAGCAACTTCTCCTCCTATTGCCACTGCTGGTTCTATCGACTTGTCTGCTAGACATGGTTCTGTTCCTTCTCCTGGGACTTTTGGCCCTCCAATGCAATACGCACAGTATCCTCAACAGCAAATACCCATTCCTGAAACTGGCTTCTTTCCTATCCAACAGCAACAGCAACCACCTCAACCACAACCCCAACCCGACATTTCTCAGTATCCTCAAGTTGCTCCTGCGGGTTGGGCTGCTGGTGTGATGCCTTCTCCTCAAAGTTTTGCTGGCAACATGTATTACGGCAACCCTCTTTCTCCTGTTTTACAGACAAACTCCATCATGGGTGCTCCTCCTGTGGCTATGGGTGCAGCCCCTCATTCTTCGACATCTCCTAATGGTGTTCTTCCAACGGTCCCATCGCCAGGTCTCAACAATGTCAACATCCAGCAACAATCTTTATCTGCCAGTGCTATTGTTGAAGGCGTTTCTTCTTACACTCCCATCCAGAGACCCCACAGCAACAGCAGCAGTAACATTGGCCGAATTGTCCCCAACCGAAGTTTTAACAATGTTGAAAGCTTGACCCCAAGATTCAATAGCGAGCCAAACACCGCGGTTGTCGGATTAAATACATCTGCCATTTCCGAATCTCCAGTTGCTCGTTCCTTTATTGGCACACCCCAGCCTCGCAGCAGAACTTCCTCATTGTTTGCCACCAATCCCTCTGGTGGATTTTTTGGTGACACTGCTAACAGTTCCAGCAATTCGTCTGCCATTGAAAGCGGATGGAGCTTGACAGGTACGCAGCCCGTGAAACCCGTATCGAGACGCGGTAGCATGTGGTCTACGCCTGTTAATGGAACTTCGCTCTGGGGAACAAACGACCAACCAACTTCTGTGTCGCCTCCCTTAAATGCTAACACAAGTACTGCGCTTCCAAGCAGCTTGCTTGACAAGCGGCCTGAGACGTCTGCGGTGTCTTCAAGTTTTATTATTCAGGCTGCTATTACTGCTTACCAAGAACACGCCCGTGCGTACACTAATCTTTCTGACGGAAAGGTCAGTGCTCAGCTTCTTTATATGGCTGCAATCAACCACATTCCCGGACCCCGTATCAACCTTCAAGAATTTTTCAATGCTTGTGAAAAGCCTGATGATTCTGGTATTATTCACTTTGAATTAATTCGCAATCATCTAGGTCTTGTTACCCACATTCGCCATCGACCTCATCAAACTTCATCTACGTCAATTTCTACTGGTGGGCCTTCAATTCCGCAACAAGTGCAACCCCAGCCCCAGCAATCCCAGCCTCAGGCCCAGCAAGCTCAGCAACAAACATCTACCATTTCTCCATCACCAATGGGACAAATGTATGGACCAATGATTGGCACTGCAAATGGCCTTCCTCCCCAACAAGCTCTACAGCAAGGCTTCATGGTGGATCAGCACCATCTCCTTCTCCAGCAACAACACCACCATTATATGGGCTCTGGCAGTCTCACAGGATCGGTGCTGACTAATGGTAACGGACCTACTGCCAACATTGGGGCATCCGCTGCTGCTGGCTTTACAAATACTGCTGCGGTGGGAACTGCCGGTAACTCCTTGGGTCTTGGTGGCCTTAAGTATGAATTTTAAAGAAGACAACTATAGAATAATTGTCTTTGTATATTATTTATCATTTCATTTTTTTGTATGCATGTATGTTTATTCAAAACATATCCTCCTTTAACTTTTTTAATATTCAAAATTTTCATGAATGGTATATTTTAAAACTAGCCTTTTTGGTCACAAGAAGGTTTAACTTTTAGTAAATAGCTACAGTTAAGATCTTGGTTCCACTATGATGTTTTAAAGTTTGTTTTTATCGATCAAATTTTTCAAAGTTTGTTGAAGCAAATGTTGATTTTTTCATTCATAAAATATAGATTTGAATTTGTTTTTAGCAAGTCAAAAAAAAATTTGAGGGAAACAAAAAAATGATATTTATTGAATGATATATTTTTTTAAAAAAAATTGCGAAACTTTTTCAAATTTAAAATGAAAGACAAAAATTTTATATTAAGATTAAAAGGTGGCTTAGAAGTATCAGAAATCGAATTAGAATTTAGCTTGAAATAATTATTTGGTTGTTGCGGCTAATCTTACTGCAAATTTATGTTCAAAACAAACAGAAAAAAGCTCGGTCTTGTTGCTGATTCAACTTACCTCATGATCATCATGATGAATATTGCAACACGTAGTTGAAAAAATTTTAAAAAAAAATGGAATTGCTTGCAATTTCTTATCTGTGAATACTCGATTGAATTCAATTGATAAAGTTAAATTTTGAGTTTCGAATAAAAAAGAAAATGATGTTGGCACATTAGAAACAGTCAACTTTCCTGTTCATTTAATTATTTACTTCTAAATTTCTAATTGTTTGTTATCGACTTCAGCATTTTCATTTTCAACTGCCCAAAAATAAGCTCTAATTACATTTCACGAAAAACTGTTGCAATCCTTGAGCAAAAAAATAAAATCAGGTATTATATATTAAATTACCTATAAACTCGAAATGAGAATTTTTTTAAAAAATACAAATTTGAAAATGATGTAAACAAATTGCTAGATCTTTTTGTTATGATTTTAATCAGTTTTAATTATTCTGAGAATGAAAAAAAAAATTAAAATATTTAGTTCTACTGCTTTTGTTGGTTTATTTTGCTTTTATTCAAGAGTTATAAATTTATATATCATTGGTATCTGCGCTATCCTTCTTGTTCTTACTATCTTTTCGTTTTCATGATAAACTTTTAATATGACTTCAACTCAACATTGCATCTTCTACAGCCCCAAAATAAGTCATGCTGCCAGCTTAAGAGGAAAAGGGAGTTCAAGGCTAAACTTTTTAAACTTATCTCTACTTATACTCATCACCGCTGTATTCTAAGGCCCGTATTGTTTGTTTGTTTGTTTGTTTTTATTCAAGGGTCCAAGGCCCGTATTGTTTGTTTGTTTGTTTTTATTCAAGGGTTATAGAATTATATAACATCAGCATCTGCGCTATCCTTCTTGTCCATACTATATATTTTTTCATTTTAATAATAAACTTTTAATTTTGGCTTCAACATTGCATCTCCAACAGCCCGAAAATAAGTCCTGATGCCAGCTTACGAGGAACAGGGGGTTAAAATAACCAAACCTTCCCAACCTATCTCCACTTGTCTTCATCAACGCTGTAATTGTATTTCTTAATCCCTCCAAGCAGAGATAAAGCTTACAATCTCTTGTAAGCCAGTTAAACTGTTTAAGAGAGTCGACATGTCCATCTCTGGAGATATCCGTTTCAGTCCTTTTCTTTCCTCTTCAAGCAAAGGACACTCAACTAAAATGTGATGAACTGTTTCCAGCTCTCCACATTTGCAGTTGTAACTATCCTTTTCAATTCCAAACTTTTTTAAACCATGCGCCAAAGTTTCCATGGCCTGTGCGAAATTGAGTAATATTACTCAAGATCCTTCGACTATCTTTCTTCATGATCACTCCCGTAACCATTTTGGAAAGATTATCAGTACATTTCGACTCCACTGTGATATTATGATACCACAGATCCTTACTGCTGTTCCAATACATTTCTTGCCATTCTTCCATTGCTTGTTTCTTCAAAATTCCAATCGTCTGATTTTGTTGTTGTTTCAGTGTAAGAGGTTCAACCCTCTTGCATTTTCGTTTTTCATCCTTTTTAATCATATAGTCTCTATCATCTTTTCGCCAACATGTAAAGCGTGGTTAGCTTTGCAATTGGAGATTTCTCAATCAATGTTAACAAATGACCATTAATAGGATTAGTTTTGCTAATATTTAGGTGTAAACGAATAGCTTTTCGTGCCACCATAAATTTTAGCCTAATACTATATGGCATAATACCAACTTCCTTTTGTAGTACCGCAATAGGAGTTGTGCGATAAGCACCAACAATTCTTCTTAAAGCCATATTCTGCATTACTTCCAACTTGTGGATTTCTCCTTTCAAAATTTTGTGATGCCAAATTTCTAAGCCATATTCGACAATTGGTCTCACGCAAGCAATATACAGTGATCTGACTGCAGACCCTCGCATACCTTTTTGCACGCCACCAAGATGCCAAATAGCACCAACAGCTTTTCTTGCTTTATTGATTTTATTCAAAATATGAGATTTAAAATCAAGCAGATTGTTCAAAGTAATTCCAAGCAATTTAACTTCCTTCTGGGGTTCACGAAGTTCTCCATTAGGTAAAAGTAAGTTGCACTTTCTCATCTTTAGGTTTCACATTTTTTGTAAAATGAATAAAACCCAATTTATCACCCAAATCAATTTTGGTCATTCTTGATTTAGCCCAATTACAACATTTTTCCAATATGTTGCTTAAGCTTTTGGTATTTTCTTCAATTTTACCTTCAACGGTAATAGTCACATCATCAATAAAGCCAAAAGGAGTTCCACCCCATTCTTTAATGGCATGATACATTGGTGTGGAATATATCAAAAAAAGTAGTGGTGAAATAGGTGAGCCTTGTGGAATTCCAGTACTAATTTTTTGCACTGATCCTTTTCTTCGGTCCATGAGCATACTAGCTTCTCTTTCACTTACAAATTGGTACGTCCAGTTTATAAGTGCTTTGGGTAGTTTCATATCCTCCATTGTGTCTGCCAATATATTTCTGTTAACATTATCAAAAGCTCCTTGAATATCAATGAGCATAGCTGAAATTTTTTCTTTACTGGTTTCAATTCTTTGGACAAGTTCCAAAACAGCATCAGTAGCACAATAACCTTGTCTTCCCCCATATTGCTCTGGTGGAAGTAAGTGTGTTGTAAGCTTGGTCATTCTTTTTGTATAATTTTTTTCCAGTACTTTAGATGGAATCTTAAGTAAGGAAATTGGTCGGTATGCTCTTGGCTTTGAATAGTCAGGTTTCTTAGGTTTAGGTATAACAACAATAATGCCATGTCTCCAGACTTTTGGGTGGTATCCAAACTTTACACAAGCTTGGAGAAGCTTGAAAAACCTTTCCTTAAAGTCTTTATTTAGCCATGCCATCTTTAAAACTTTGCCAGTAATTCCATCGTCTCCTGGAGCTTTATCATTTGGGTATCAGCCAATGCAGAGTCAACTTCATCAAACTCTAATTTTGGCCATCGAGAATCGCCATCAATTTCAAACTCTCTATCAAGACCATGATCAATTTCAGGTAGAAGTGCCTTCCATATTTCATGTCTTTTTTTCGTCAACAGTAGTAGTGAGAGTTCCATCTTCTTTTCTAATTTGTGGTATAATGGTATCATTGCTTTTTGGATTAATATACTTCAAAATCTTCCAAATGTCATTTCCTTCTAAACTAGACAAATATTTATTCCATTGCTCAGTACTTGCTTCACGCAAACTGTGGTCAAAAATTTTTCTAGCTTTTTTCGCCTCTTCAATTTTTGTCGTTTCAAAGCCAAAGAAGGTTGTCTTTGACGGGCTTCCCTTTTAGCTTCTAGCGCTTTTTCTAACTTCTCCTTAATTCTTGATTCCAATAGCGTTTGGACTTTTTCATCACCTTAACTTCCTTCATCGACTTTGCCATTGCTCTTTTTACAACCTCCTCAAGAACTTTAGCTTGGTCATCAATTTGGTCAGTTGATTTTAGAGTTTTGTTATGCACATTAAAATCTTTAATGGCAGAAGAAAGCTCCTTGTCAAACTTTTCCCAATCTGCATTCTTAATATTCAATCTCTTCACCGAAGTAAAACTTCATCCCTGTTTTTACTCTGAGACATATAGATGTCCCACTCCACAATTGAGTGATCACTTAGTGTATTTTCATCCACTCCACTAAATGAAATTCTATGAAGTAAGTCCACTGAGCCATAAACCAAATCAATATTGGTTCTATTGTTGTATGTTTTTTGATTTCTTGGAGTAATTAACATCATATCATTTTCATGTAGCCACTCAACAACTTCATCTGCTTCCGTATTCGGACCTGCCCTTGACTCCCATTCCTTGTGATGTAAGTTATAATCACCTGCAATGACAATCTTTGAGTATTGTTCCTTGATCTCCCGTTTGAGAAACTCAAAAACCGGTGGCTCAGGGTATTTCTTGGGTGGTTTCGGTTGATTATAGACATTGACAATTGTAATGTCTTTAACCAAAATGGTAACCATATCTCGATTTGTAAACTTTTCAATTTTAGTAGTTAATGCTCGTAAGTCAGAGTTAGACCTAATGTAAGTAATTGCTCTGCATTTATTTTTTTCTTTTCCAGTTTCTGTAAAGATTGGGATCCAATCTTTATGTTTAATGGGCCCATAGTTGTTAAAGTAAGGTTCTTGTAATAACAAGATATCAGGTTCTTTTTTATCTAAGATAGTTTCAGTAATAGATTTCGATTTATGACAATTGAGTTGGAATACTTTATAATTCATTGGATGTAATAGAATTGTTTTCGTTTTCTTCCTCATTGGATTCATCTAGTTCTTCAATATTTGTTTCTTTCATCGGTTCATCTTGTGAGTCGTCAGTGGAAACAGGATGGGCCTCATTATCCTTTTGTCTGATTCATTTTTCAATAATCGTATCTTATTACGCATAGCTTGGAGTTCTTCAGGAGTTTTTTTTTTCCTGCTAATAAAAGGTCTAACTTTAACTTTTGTGTACTGGATAATAAGATTATCAGCACACTTTGCATAGTCTTGGGCATTTCTGAATGAAACCAATGCTGTTTGGGTAAATTGGTTTCTGCTAATGATTTTGGGTTCGGTATTCAAAACAATATGGTAATCATTAAAATTGTAGAGAGTTTCTTTCAAGTCTTCAATCGATGCCGTATTAGGTATTTCCTGAAGTACAGCCTTGTACCAAGAATCTGTGTCAAGCACTGAATAAGTAGGGTCAACTTTGGGGATCCATTCTGCAGCTTTATCAGCAAAATCTTTGTCATTAAGTTGAACATATAAATGCCCTTTGACAGTATAGCCTATTTCCTGAGCCACCGGCTTTTGTGCAACCGCATCAATTTTCTTTCCAATCGCAGGGATATTAACTCTTTTCATGGTATCTGGAATTCTTATGCACACTCTAAAAGTGGGTTTGTCTTCATCAACTTTAGTTTCACGGTGTTGTTTTGAGCCTTCATAATGTCTTTCAACTTTGGAGTTGCTCCATTTGGAGTTTTAGGGGTCAAAGCAAAAGGCAAAGTGTCGACTTTTCTTACCGCACTCTTGATTTCCTTTTTGCGTAGCTAAGTTCTTTGGTAGTTAAATCAGCCTTAGTTGAAATAGTTCCAACTTTGTATTCCATATTATCAACTCTTTTCTCAAGATTGTTGGTCATTTCTTTGAATTCCTTGATTTCAGTGTCGATAATTCTTTTGTTTCTTGCTTTTTCTTGAGACAAATCTTGAAGAGTCATCTTAGCTATTTCATCAGCTTTATGTTTCACTTTATCGCAATGATCCTTATTATCCTTAACTTCCTTTTTAAGTTTTTCAAACATTACATGTTTAACTTCTGTGTGAACCTGATTGTTTCTCAAAACATCAAGTTCTGAGCGAAGAGAATTCACTTGTCCTTCTGAAGCTTTAAGCTTTTCGGTCAAAGCAATGAGTTGTTTAGCTAACTCATTGTTTTTAAGTTCAAGATTTTGAAATTTTATTTCCCAATCTTCAATTGTAATACTCAAGTCTTCTTTAACAATAGACAATTCAACCAGAAATACATCCTTAAGTTTTAAGATGTATTCCCAGGCTTCAGAATTATCACCAAATGGATTTGCATCCGGCATGAGAACATCCATGTCACGTGATGGTGTTGCGTCAATTTCCACATCACCACCATCTGGTGAAGAGTCAAAGGTAGGGTTCAAGGTTGGACCAACATTCACAATAGGGGTTTCAACGGGGGTTTCGTGGTTTGAAGAAGCATTATGCTTATCATTCGATTCAAGCTTTTTGTGGATAGTTTCAATTTTTTTATGGGAGTCTGGTTTTTCATTATTTTTTTGGATTTTTGTCGAGGGTTTGATGTGATGAGCTTCATGAGAATGAGGTCCTCTGGAATGAGAACTTTCTTTCTCCTTCAGTTCAACAGCAATAATTTTTTGCATATCATTAATATTAGTCTGTTCATTATTATTGTCGGTATAATTATTGTCGGCTAAGGCCCGTATTAAAATGGTTGAACAAAACTTGTTTTTACCCAGTTGTTTTGAGAATATCTTTTTTTCTTTTTCTTTAACAAGAAGCGCGGATTTAGCTCAGTTGGGAGAGCGTCAGACTGAAGTCACAACTTTGGTCCAGTATAATCTGAAGGTCCTGTGTTCGATCCACAGAATTCGCAACGAAACTTAACTTTTTGCTTTTTTCTCAACCAAAATTTTTTAAAGGCAATTATTGTAAGCACTTGTAAATCTCCAGTGAATTTATGAATCGCAATTTAATAGTGAAAAGTGAAAAAAAAAAAAGATTTTCTTTCTAAACCTTAAACAAATGTTACCCTGGTTTGATAGAATGTTCCTTGATATATGCGTCTTATTTTACTCTCATAACCACTGACCGTTATCTCATCCTAATTTTAAACTTTTTTAGATTCTCAACCAGAAAAATTATTTTAAAAAAATAAAATTCACTTGATGTTTCTAATCAAAATTTTTTTTTTTTACCAAAGCCCTCTCACAATCACACCCAATAACCAATTAGTTTTTAATATAAATAATAATCATTAATATAATTACATTTAATAACCAGTTGGAATTTTGAACCCTGAATTCCCTTTAGATTTTACTGGCGTGATATAGTAGCCAAGCTAGACTTCACCTTTATTTTCCCTTAAAAACTGTAAAACCAGATTACAAATTGCAAATTCTTATTGACGTTGAATAGACAATTACACTTTGATGGCAATGAATCTTTGATAAACTATTTTCATCGATTGCATAGATCTTGAAGTGAGATACTTTATTGTTTGATTTTATTCAAGAGTTATAGAAATATATAAAATCAAAATCAAGGCTATCATTTTAATTACTATACCTTTGTGACTCACCGTTTTATTGTGTACTTCTTTATTACTGTGTTTTTTAGGGTCTGGGATTCCCCGGAATATGAGCCCTGATTTCAGCTTAAAAGTTATAGGGAGAACCAGTTTGTAGGTCCCAAACCTACCAAACCCATTTCCACTTAAATTCACTAACGCCTGTGTATTTCTTAATCTCCTCTGCCAGAGATATGGCCACCAATAATATGGAGGCTAATTAGACTGAACGGAAGAGCAAATGTGCTTTTATGTTGCACCCACTAGCCCATACTTTTCAGAGCATATGCCAAACTTTTTTGTATTGTTTCAAATTGACCATATGTTTTAATGGACTGAAATCCGGCCTATTTTATTGGAGTTAGAAAATAAAATTATCATTTATTAAACATTTCAAAATTACGTAATCAAACAGATGAGTAAGCTTAAGATGTTAAAGCCGCACAAAAAGTCACGTGGTCTCTTGGCCCAGTTGGTTAAGGCATCGTGCTAATACACAAGCAACTTCCTTGTATACGCGAGGATCGGCGGTTCGATCCCGCCAGAGACCATTCTTTTTTTGTCATAATACTTTGATTATAATAATAATAATTAAATATATAAATTTAACATAAAATTTTGAAAAAATTGCATGACAATAACATATTTTTCAACTACATTCAATCAACTCAAATTCATGTATAGATAAATGGGCATTTTACGTTATCTTCAGATTTCTGCTTAATTGCATAAAAACTTGATTTTTGTTATTTACCTTCCATAGTTTCACAAGAAAACTCTCATAATTATGTTTTGTTTTTTAACTTATGCTCATATTTCTTTAATGCAAAAAAAAAAAAAGGCATTGGTCGGCTTTTTCTTTATCAATGGTTCAGGCGATTTCTAGAAACCTATATAATTGACCAAAATCTCCATCATTTTCCTTTTATTTTTTATTTTTTTATTTTCAGTAAAACAAATAATAAAAAGAACTCAGATTTAAAGTATTAAAAGCAACTAAATAACAAAATGAAGTTTTCAAATTTGTTATACTTTTTCCAGCGATTCAACAAAAACAAGAAGCAAAAAGTAACCACCATTGAGGTTACATACCAACCTTCTTCTGTTCCCTCAAAATCCATTTTGATGAATTCTGAACAATTAAAGCCTAGCACATCCCATGTTCACTTTGATGAAAGTCCTACTTCTTCTGTTTGCCCTCTATTTTCGACACTCACTAAGACGACATCTTATACCTCTGATTCCTCTGGCCAATCTTATGCTCATTCGATTCAAGACCAAGATTGGATTTTGCACCATACTCGGTTTATAAGTGCATCGGGTGTATATCTTGACAATTCTGTTCGTCCTTTGTTGCGTCTTATTGAATCTGGAGATGAGTTTGAGAAGTTTTTGGGATTTGCTCGCCGCGCAGCTATTCGACTTAAAGACACGTCTTGTTATAGTCCTAAACAAACGCGGATTAATGTTTATTACAAGCAGAAGTTTGATGAATACAATGAATTTGTGAGAGCACATTCGTTTAAAATGGCCTCGGGTTCCGAGATTACAGTTGTTTTTGAACTTGTACTTTTGCCACAAGCTGATGTTGATGAAGACAATGAGTACAAAGATGAGCCAAGCGAAAATGGTGACTATAAGGATGAAGATGAGGATGAAGATGAGGATGAAGATGAGAGTGAAGATGGAAATGAGGATGAGGATGAGGATGAGGATGAAAACGAAAAAGAAAATGAAGAAGAAGAAATTGTTTATGAGGAACCATTTGGTGAAGATGATGAGTCAAATATTTCAGATCCCTTGAGTACCCAGACTCAATATTGGACTAGTGAGAACAGTTCTGATGGTGAGACTCAAGTGGGGTATGAATGGCTTTACTCTGATGTTGAAGAAGAAGTTGAAGCAGAAGTAGACTCTATGTGCTCTACATGTGCAAGTCTAAATCTTAATTCAAGTTCCAGTGACGTATCAAGTGATATGTTGAGTGAAGAGGAATCAACACATAGTGTCGAGGAAGAAGACGAATCTACGGATGGAACTCTTCATGCTTCAGAAGCCAATACTAATGAACCAATTTCAAGTTTGTCAAATAAGCAATCTGAAGAAGAAGTTCAGGAACAAGCTACAGAGGCTAACCACTATCGGTTGCCGATAACTCCAGCCGATTTGTTGGGTATAAACATGAATGTTGAAGGACGTCGAAGAGATGAAGCCGAAAAGGAACTCATGTCTGAGGAGTTTTTGGGAGGCCCTGAGCCCAGCTGGGTCACTGAAATTTACCGCTGATTGATGAGAAAAAAAAAATAAACAATAAAAAAAAAAATTAAAATAATGGATGATGATGATATGAAAATATAATGTGTAATGAATAATAATTGAATAAATAATTGAATAAATTTCAGTGGTGTATGCTTAATTAAATGGTGAATGGCACTGCTTTTTTAATGCACGATCGACTCACATATAAAGTAAAGAATTCACACAAAATTCATCATTTTTATTTACATCCCAACAACAACAACCATATCTAGCCATTTCAAATCATTACAAACAAGATACCATTTTTAATGCTGCTTAAAGCCCACCATCAACTCAGTTTCAGTGCCTGTTATGGCCCAGGTTTTGAACTTTAGACTTCCTTTTCATGTCCTACGATTCATTTTACAATTAATTATAGTTTACAGTAACTCCAAAATTCATTTAATTTTTCATTAATTATTACTTTTGCACTTTCTTTTAAAATCTAAATCAAAGCAAATTTTTTTTTTTTTTTCAAAACAAATCTTCATCATCACTATTTTCTTCTTCTACTGCAAGATCCAAAGCTTCTTCTGTCTTTTTCGCAAATTCAGGTTTTGCAAACGCACCAGTCGCTGAAGCAGTAGAAACTCGTTTCTTATCTGTCTTGGAACCAGCATTGAAAAAATCAGTCAGCTTTGGTTGGTTCCCTTCACCAGATGTTGGCGCCAAAGATGCTGTCTTCTTGTTGCTGGTGTTGCTGTTGTTGCTTCCACCAGATTCACTTTGTTTTTGGGCCGCCCGGGAAGATGCAGTACTTGTAAGAATCCGCCGGCTGCGAGTAACAGGTTTTGTAGACGATGAGGAAGAAACAACTTGTAAATCATTTGCTTTTTCATCTTCATCACTGGAGTAAAAATTCTCTTTTGATGACGTTTTGCGAGACTTGGAATCAGAACCAAGCCCAACACCAAGCGTTCGCTGGTAACTAGGCGGCGGTTTGTTATAGTCATCCTGGTCACTTAGGTCCATATCATTGGTATTGGTATTGGTATTTTCCTTATTTTTGTGCGGTGACCCAGCAGATGACGTTGGCATTTTCCCAGATGATACTGGAGTACTACTGCGGCCACCGCTACGATTTCGGCGGGCACGCTTAGACGACGTAAACTCTTGATAGTCTTCATCTTTATCATCATCGCTGCTACTGCTGGTAGTGTCTTCCTCATCTTCATCTCCAGATTCGTATTGGCCTATTAGTATACGCGATTGTTTCCTCTTTCTTGGATTTTTCTTTTGCTCTGCTGTGGTTATCTTGGTAAGCTTTTCTAATTCCTCTTCCAAGGCAATATCTGAAGCATTATCTGTTGTAGAATTTAAAGAATCAACAGCTGCTCGTTTTAACTGCCGCCGCAGCGGACGTGTTGGTACAGTCGCAGTCGCAGTCGCAGTCGCAGTCGCAGTCGCAGTCGCAGTCGCAGTCGCAGTCGCGGTTGTGGTTGCAGTAACTGTGATTTCAGGAGACTCAGATTTATGGTCTTTTGTTTTATTAGCATCCGGCGCAGTTTTCACAGGCGGCCCCATATTGAGTTTCATTTGGCGAACCCCAGAGGACCCAGTAGTGCTTGGTTTCCTTTTCCTTGATCGTGTTCGTGGCTTTGGATCTCTCGGAAGAACTATGATATCGTCATCTTTGTCTGTTGACTTTTTGTCTGGACCTCCTTTTGCATCATCCTCTATATCATCGTATTCGAGCTCGTCGTCATACTCTTCAAACCCACTGTCGTCTTCAATTTCAATGCTATCATTATATAAAAGGGTAGACTTGTCGCGATTGTTGCCCATTGAATCGATAATGGATCGCACGGGGAATTTGACATTACCATAAGCTGTACTTTCTTGTAAAACATTGCGCGCTGTATTGATGTTATCCTTAATATCTTGCTCAATCAGCCTTGTGATGATTTCTGGTGAAAGAATATAGGAAATGTAATTTGGAATACCAAAAACGTTTAGCCACCAGAGATTTGGTGGTGGCGGTAAAACAAACGAGGATTGTGAAGCAGATATAATTGTATCTTGTCGCTTGGCTGGAACGCTGCTGCTATCTATGGATTGATGATCTGGTTGAGTGTCAGACTTATGTTCTATAGTTGATTGATTTGGTGCTGTCTGTGAGGTTTCTGGCTGCTCTTGCTGAGAAACATCAGATTGGGATAAGTTAGGCTGGGATAGTGAAATCTCTTGAGATGAAGAAGAGCCTCCCAGTAACGACGATAAGCTATCCATTTTCAGGTTCTGAGCACCGTTAAATGATTGTTGTAACTCTGTTTTCTTCTGCATTTCGTAAATCTTTTTAATTTCTTCAGCAGATCTAAGCTTACGCCGGCGATGCATTGTAGCAATATCTGTGAGCTGGTCAAAACATGACTCTGAGACCATTTTGATAATGAGATCCTTGGTAGCCGGTCCATAATACCCAGCGTCTGAACGTAGCCGTAGTGCCAGAATCTCCTTTACTGACAACGCTGTTCCGTTTCTATACTCTCGAGCCAATTCCCAATCAGACATGCGCTCGACGCCTTGAACGATTTGGCGAATGGTATTTTTTTCTTCTGCAACCTGTTCCGAGTCTGTGGACAGATCTTGGCGTGCGGACTTGATTTGGGCAACCTCGAATCCATTAGCAACAATGCGTTTTTCCACCAGCTTGTGCCGCAAAAACGCATTCAACGACGACTGCACGATTTCCTGGTTGTACGAAAAAACATCGCCTTTAATGATGCGCATGACTTCCTCGAGGATTGAGAGGATGCGTGTACGAATTTTGGGGAAATCTAGGGTATCGGGGTATTTTTTCTTACGGCCTTCTGCAATGATCCTCCGTTGTTCTTTCACATAATAGTCGTATCCGCGACCTGCTACCAGACTGTCATCCATGGCCATGCTGTCTTCATCATCATCGATAAAACTATCCGAATCATCTGTCATGTTGCCTCCCTCTGCAATCCGCAAGGCCTTGTCGTAGATGGCTCTGGACTCTTCCGACATGTCAATGTTTTTGATAAGATCGTTCAATTCCCTTCCGTTTATGACTTGTGAGAGGCCTTGAAGTGCGTCCACTTGTGGTTTTTTCTTTTCTTTAGGTGGTGGGTTTTTTGCATTTGGAGATTTTGAATTGGTTTCGTTATTCGGAATTGGTGAAGAAGATTTTGAGTTGGAACTAGAAGTTTTTTTTGCTTTTTGGCCTTTAAAGAAGTTTCCGAACGAGCTAGTTGTTCGAGCAGCAGGTGTAAAAAAAGATTCCTTTGACTTGCCATCCTTTTGATTTTCTAATTGCTTTTCCATTTGCTTCTGTCGTTCCATGCTGCGTTTTTTTTGTTCTTCTTTCTTTTTCTTTTGCCGCTCTATTTGTTGCTGTTTTTCCTTTAAATCTTCTTCATCGTCATCGTCATCGTCGTCATTAAAATCATCTTTTGATATACTTTTAATGTCGTTTAACGCTTTTAAAAAGGGTCGTGAAAGCGGTGGCGGCGATGAATCCCATACTGTAGACTTAGTTCCTGTTATATGTGTGATTGTCATCTTAGTTGGACTGCTGGTCCTACTAGTTGTTGGCGATGATGCTATTAATTTGCGATTCAACGAAGTATTTGTAGAAAACATTTTGCGTTCCGATCTAGGAGAATGATGGATACTTTTGATCTCCAAGTCGTCCTTATTTTGTAGCAGCGGTCCACCAAAGAGGTCTTCTTCTATTTCAAATTCGAGATCGGTATCTATCATGTGTGGATCGTTAGACCGCTTGGAAAACACCTTGGAGATGATGTCTTTTGTTTCTTTAATATCATTGTTTTCCAGCTCTCTTAATCTCCTTTTCTGAGAGTCAGCCAACACAGGGTTGCGATATGGAGAGCCTAAGGGACCTGTAGGTTTGTTTTTCTTGCCATAAGTTTTTACAGGTCTATCAGAGAGCCCACTGAAGGCAGATGAATGAGGCACTGTGGGTTTTTGATTGCCATTTCTATTGGTCCTCAGGCTGTTTTTGGGTTTAGGACCTTGAAACGGCATGATGATTTGATAAATGTAGAGGGGGGAAAAAGACGGTTCTGGAGGCTTTTATTTGGGGTATATAGATAGCACAGAAAGTCCAAAATATGATAGAAAATGGTTAAGAAATTGTTTGTTTATAATTTTTTAAAAGAAGGTTTAGGTGGTGGTGTTTATTTCCCAAAATGTAACAGATGCTAATTACTTTAATGTGTTTGTTTACAAAATTCATGCTCACAAAATCATCAACCCCCACGAATAAATATTGTCGGATAATGGATATCTCAAAATTCTTTCCTCTTTTTTTTTTTTTTTTTTTTTATTATTATTAATTATATATATTTTCATTACTATTCATTTATTTCTGAAAAGACCAGTTCTCCTCCGGAATACGACCACGGAGAACGGGGACTTCGGTGCCCGGTACATAAACATCCTCAAAGAGAATCTTAGGCTCAGCAGCAGGTGGAGGAGATGCCTCAGCGGCAGCAGCTTCCTTCTCAACAAAAGCACGGGTTTCCTTGTCAATCTTCTTGAGTTCTTCCTCAGTGATGATACCCTCGTTGATAAGGCGGTGCTTGAGACCCGCAATGGGATCGCTTTCGGAACGCATGTGCTGGATCTCCTCACGGGTACGGTAAGTGGTACCGGGATCAGACATAGAGTGACCACCATATCTATAAGTCTCAAACTCAAGAACGATGGGACCCTTGCCAGCACTAGTCCAGGCCTTGGCGTACTTGGTGGCCTGGTAGACGGCGATGACATCCATACCGTTGACCTTTAGACCGGGGATGTATTGACCACGCTCGTAAAACTTGGTGAGGGCAGAGGCACGCGAGGCAGCCGTACCCATACCATACTTGTTGTTTTCGCAAGCGTAAATGCAAGGAATGTTCCAAAGCTTGGCCATGTTGAAAGATTCAAAGATCTGACCTTGGTTGGAAGCACCATCACCGTAAAGAGTCACGGTAGCAGCATCCTGACCAAGGTACTTGTGAGCAAAGGCAAGACCAGTGCCCAGGGGGACTTGAGCACCGACAATACCGTTACCACCATAAAAGTGGTGAGCATACATGTGCATGGAGCCACCTTTACCGAAGGAAACACCTTCACGGCGACCAAGCAGTTCGGCCAAAACAGCCTTGACGGTGGCACCACGGAGGTATGTGAAACCGTGGCAGCGGTAGGAGGTGATTACGGAGTCCTTCTTGGTGATAGCATGTTCAATGCCAACAGCAACGGCTTCCTGACCAATTGAAAGATGGCTATGATGTTGGTTAGAATGAAATAGGAGATTCACAGCTAGGGTTGTGCGTAAAATACATACCAGCTAGATTACGAAGAGCAAAAAAAAAAAATAAAAAAAACGTGGCCCGCATAGATTTCAACGGACGCGAGCAATTAAAGCAGCAATGGTTAGTGATTGAAAATAGAGACTTTGAATAAGATTTGAAAAGGAATTGAACATACAAACCACGGATCTTCTTGGCTTTGTAGAGGGCATCAGAGGCCATTTCCAAACGTCTTTAAAGCAAGTTAGTAAGATTGTAAATAGAAAAAAAAAAAAAAATTGCGCAACAACATACCTAACAGTGACCATATCTTTGTACATCTTGAGGAGCTCCTCAGTAGTTAGCTTAACATTAAGTTCAGGAGCTTCTAAGTTGTAGGTTGCATAAGTTTTTTCAGGAAGCTCAATTGTGTGGATGTCCTATATATACAACTGGTTAGCCATTGATAACAAAAAAAGAAAAAAATTTTTTTGAGCTTTTGAATAACGAGAGACTCTGAGTCTTCTTCTTGTTCTTCTTCTTGTTATTCAAAGCGGACAGGTTCAATTCACTTTGACGAGTCAATTGAACTTACAGTAGATGAAGCTTCAGGAGCAGTAGCCATTGTGCGGAACTTGGGGAGCCCCGCAGGAGGGGCCAAACGGACAGCTCTCAGCAGGTGAGAAGAGGAGGAGCGAAGCATTTGGGATAGAAAAGTCACAGGAGAAGATAAAAAAGAACTCAAGGGCTTTAAGATGAGATTGCAGAGAGGTGATAGAAAGGAGGCCTTTTGGAGATTCGCAAGGTCTTTTAAAGAAGGTTTAGGAATTGTTAAAAGTGATGTAGATGGTAAGTAGGAAGAAGAAAAAAAAAAAAAAAAAAAAAAAAGAAGAAGATAGAAAGCTGGCGGTGGTGGTGGTGGTGGTGGTAAGAGGTTTTTTTTTTTTTTTTCTAAGGTGATATGTGTAGGTGATGGTAGTGGTGGTGGGGAAAGCGAGAAACAGCTGTTGGCTACAGTTAGATAAGCCATTTTGTATGTGTGTGTGTGTGTTTGACGGCTACAACGGAGGCTGCTCTCCCCCTTCCACAAACTGGAGTGCTGCTAGAGAGAGAAGAGGGGTAAGTCACGTGTAAACGGCCAGTGGAAGCCTCTCTGCCGGTACGGCTGATTGGATTCGGGCCTTCCATAGCCGGTAGTCACGTGGAAGGGTTATTTATGTAAATATAGAATTAAACAATGTGCAATAAAAAAAATAAATAAAAAATAAATAAAAAATAAATAAAAAAACCTCCCCCGTAGAAAATCCATCGGGACCCTGGACAGATTGGACTTTATATGAGAATTGGAAAAGAATTGGAAAAGAATTGGAAAAGAATTGGAAAAGAATTGGAAAAGAATTGGAAAAGAATTGGAAAAGAATTGGAAAAGAACTACTTTTGTAAAACTTGAAATATATATATATATTTATTTATTTATAGATGTTTTTATCAATTAAAGCCAATTCAGTTGATAAATAATGATAACGAAAGTCATGATATATAATAAAACGACATTTCCAAGTTTTACTTTGCAAATTGTTGAACCCAATCTCGAGATAATATCAATTTAACAAAGTAATTAAGATAATTGATGTAAACGTAGTTACTTTAATTACTTTTAAAAGAAACATCCCCAATGTCAAAAAATTATTTGATTACATAACAATCCTTCCTCTCTCATAATTATAATATAATGTCCAACTGTCACCTAGAAGATTAGATAACGGGCTGTTAGCGTGCTGTTAAAAAAAAAAAAAAGCCAAATTTTTATACGATACCGCCACAGAAATAACAATCCATACTTATACCATAAATCATTCATTCAACACAAAAAAAAAAAAAAATGATTGAACTTTTCGCAAACTTACCTCCAGAAGTTTTGCAGTGCATTGCCACCTTTCTTACAGCTGAAGAAATTCGCCAACTTCGATCAACTTGTACAAAAGTCCGGTTTGCTCTGGACCTAATATACTGGCGTAACTGCGTCGTCCGCTTACCAGTAATCACCAACAAGAGCGAAACATCATTATTAGAATCACCTCTATTAGAATCACCTTTATTAGAGTCACCTCTATTGGAATCCCGTCAACTTGTTTACTTAAAAACTCCATCCTACAACAATTATTTTTGGCCTGTAGTTCCATGGAGAGTTTTCCAGAATCCAGAAAAATATTCCTGGTTCTTACAAGATCGTGTACTGAAACTGGAACTGGAAAATGGTAAAGCTCCTTTCCCAAGTCAAGCTGTTTTGGAGAAATACCCTCACTTTGTTTCACTATGCTATTCGGAATACATGCATTCTTTAAATAATTCTCCCATTGGAACCCCGGAGTTTTTCGAGTTTAATGAGTTTTTTTCTTCAAAATATCCCAATTACCCCGGTGTTATCAAGATTAATGAAAATTATTTAAACCCTACCGATATCTGCCCGGCCATGTCAACCACTCTTAAATGTTTGGCTATTGGGTTTCATAGAAGAGATGATGACGATCTTTTAGATGCTTTATCAACTCTTGAATTTAAAAATTTAGAAACCCTTGTTATATTTAGTCTTGATAAGCGAGAAGCTGCTGCTGACTTGTTAATCAAATGTGCCAAATCACCTAAACTTAAAGAGTTATCTTTCACTATTCACATTATTATAGCACGAATCTCAAGAAAATGGAAACTTTATGTTTCTAGAAGTGTCTTAACTGTCTTAAGAAATATCCCCCCAAATCTTAAAAAATGTCAGTTATATATTCAAGCACTTGAATGTCAACCAGAATTTCTTCCACACATTCAAGAAGAACTATCAGGAGGCTTATATTGTCCACTAAATGAAAGTAAACCAGAAACTTTCCCTCAAGTAACCGAATTGACATATGCTCAAAACTACTCAAAGGACTGGCATATGTCTGGATTAGAGGCTTTTAATACCTGGGGGAGCTTCCCCAATGCATTTACAAATTTAAAGCTTGATATGTCAATTTTAAGAGACAATTACCTGAACCCTGAAGCTTCCTTTTTGCAACACATTAACATCCTTACCTTGAATCATACACTGAATGAAAAATTTTTGACAGAAAAATTCTTATTTCCAAAATTTTCAAACCTTACCAGAGTCAGTTACATTCGATCATACGATGTAACTTTTAGATACGAAATGCTAAAAGATCCTGAATTGCTAAAACTTTGTAACTTACTCAATGATTATTTACATCACCTATGCCAACTCAACCCTAACGAATATTCAACAACTCATGAAAGTTTACTTAAACTTGCACAAAAACATGGACTTAATGACCAGTTATATGATCAATTCTTTGAAGCCTTATTTAACTTCTTTGTTGATCCTACTCAATTTAATCCCTTTTGGAAGTCTGCCCAATCATTAACAGAAAATACAGAATTTGTACAGGTCTTACAAGATATGATTACCACTGAAATCACCTTTAAATGGCTTGCAGAAGCCAACAGCATTGAATATTTAAATTTCGAAACTTCAGAGGGGCTTTATCCATCTCCTTATTTTTATAATCTAACAAGAAATCATCCTTCGTTGAAACAAATTCAATTTCAATGCAATATTTTGAGTTATAAAATTGAAATCTCAAGTTTGAATTCATTGTTTAAAATATTTAACAAACTCCCAGATAACAAAGTCATTTTGACACAAGATTTTGAAAAATACTTGTACCAATTGATACCAAATGTTCCACACAAATTCATTTCTAACTTTCAACTTGCTTCAAAGTTTGGTGGTTTCACTGTAGAAAATGTCACAATATTACTTGATGTCATTATTGATGTAGGGAAAAAACGAAACTTTAGCAATACTCCTTACCAGAAATGTTACTCACCAGATGCTCCCTTTACCGAAGCAACTCAGGTGTTGAAAGAGTGCCAGGAATTAAATTTTGACGATTTTTCAATAAATGACTCCGAGTTTGACGGATGGGTTTGATTTAATCGTTGTATTTTTTTTTTTTTTTAGAAAACAATTATAATAACTGTTTTGGCTAGGATTTTATAGTATTAAGTTCAATTCAATTCAATTCAATTCAATTCAATTCAATTCAATTCGATTCATTTTATTTAATTTTATTTGGAAGTCATGTTCTAAAAAGAAAAGATAAAATGAAAAAAAAAGATTGCTCTTATCCAATGGCTTTTACAATTTAAATAGACTATAAATATGGGAGTTGAAAACAGTATTTAATCATTTTTTTTAAAAAAAAATTATTTAAATTGCTTTTCTTCATGTATACAAGATATCAATCAACTTCCATATTAAAACTAACTAAAAGCAAATAATTATTTATTTTTTTTTGTCGTTATATATTACCAATTTATTTTAAACCCATATTTTTTTTTAAACTATCAATCAAGTCCAGCTCTCTATTTAGTCAACTTCTTCAACTGTGGGACCGCTGCTACCACCAGTAGAAGCTCCACCAGAAGCTCCGGCAGAAGCTCCAGCACCAGGGAAGCCACCTGGAACTCCTCCACCAGGAGCACCACCGCCCTGGTAGAAGGCAGTCATGATGGGGTTAGAAACACTCTCGAGCTCCTTCTGTTTATCAGAAAACTCTTCGGTGGTAGCAGTCTGATTGCTGTCAATCCACTCGATAACCTCGTTAATCTCTTTCTCAAGCTTCTCAAAGTCAGTATCAGAAACCTTCTCTTTGAACTTCTGTTCAGAAATGGTATTCTTCAAAGAATAAGCATAAGATTCAAGACCGTTCTTGGCAGCAATGCGAGCAGCCTCTTTGTCATCCTCATCCTTGTACTTTTCGGCTTCAGAAACCATACGCTCAATGTCTTCCTTAGACAAACGACCCTTGTCATTGGTAATTGTAATCTTGCTGCTCTTACCAGTGCCCTTCTCAACTGCAGAAACATTCAAGATACCATTAGCATCAATGTCAAAGGTAACTTCAATTTGGGGGACACCACGAGGAGCAGGAGGAATACCAGAAAGTTCAAACTTACCAAGAAGGTTATTATCCTTAGTCTTGGCACGCTCACCTTCGTAGACCTGAATCAAAACACCAGGCTGGTTGTCAGCATACGTAGAAAAGGTTTCGGACTTCTTGGTGGGAATGGTGGAATTGCGGGGGATCAACTTGGTCATGACACCGCCAGCAGTCTCAATACCAAGGGAGAGGGGGGCGACGTCAAGAAGCAAGAGATCCTGTGTCTTGGATGAAGAAGTGTCACCAGAAAGAATAGCAGCCTGAACAGCAGCACCATAAGCGACAGCTTCATCAGGGTTAATTGACTTGGAAGGCTCCTTGCCATTGAAGAAGTCAGAAACAAGCTTCTGGACCTTGGGGATACGGGTGGAACCACCAACAAGGACAATATCGTGAACCTGACTCTTGTCAATCTTGGAGTCTCTCAAAACCTTTTCCACAGGATCAATGGTAGATCTGAATAGATCCTGACAGAGTTCCTCAAATCTGGCACGGGTAATTGAAGTGTAAAAGTCAATGCCTTCATAAAGAGAGTCAATCTCAATAGTAGTCTGGGCAGAAGAAGAAAGAGTTCTCTTGGCTCTCTCACAAGCAGTTCTCAGACGTCTGAGGGCACGCTGGTTTGTAGAAAGATCCTTTTTGTTTTTGCGCTTGAACTCAGCAATGAAGTGATTGACAAGTCTGTTATCAAAGTCCTCACCACCCAAGTGGGTGTCACCAGCAGTGGCCTTGACTTCGAAAATGCCACCTTCAATGGTAAGAAGGGAAACATCAAAAGTACCACCACCAAGATCGAAAATCAAAACGTTACGTTCGTCAGTGTGACCCTTGTCGAGACCGTAAGCAATAGCAGCAGCTGTAGGTTCGTTAATGATACGAAGAACATTGATACCAGCAATGAGACCAGCATCCTTGGTGGCCTGTCTTTGGGAGTCATTAAAGTAAGCAGGGACAGTAATGACTGCATCTGAGACCTTAGTTCCAAGATAACTCTCAGCAGTCTCTTTCATCTTGGTCAAGACCATGGAAGATATTTCTTCAGGTTGGAAAACCTTGGTCTCACCCTTAAACTGAACTTCAATGGCAGGCTTTCCAGCCTTGTCAATGACCTTGAAAGGGAAGTGCTTAATATCAGTCTGTACTTCAGGGTCAGTGAATTTGCGACCAATAAGTCGCTTAGCGTCGAAAACGGTATTTTCAGGGTTCATTGCTGCTTGGTTCTTAGCAGCATCACCAATCAAACGTTCAGTGTCGGTAAAGGCGACAAACGAGGGAGTGGTTCTGTTACCCTGGTCATTGGCAATGATTTCAACACGGTCATTGGTGAAATGGGCAACACAAGAATATGTTGTACCAAGATCAATTCCAATAGCTTTGCTCATATTGTATGTTTTTTTTTTTTTTTTTTGTAAAGTTTTAAAGAATAGAAAAAAAAGTTTAGTAGTTGTGTTAGAGAAGAAATGAGAGAGAGAATTGCAACTTGGGGAAACCAGTTCGTTTATATAGTTGCGGCTATTGCTAGACCTTTAAGAAATAAGGCCAGATTTTTTTTGCCCACTCAATAGAACTTTCTATTCGTTCGAGAGAATTCCATAGGCCACAATCATCGAAATACCTTTGATTTCTATCAGCAACAAAGCTTAATGTCTCAAACTTTCCCGATGTTTCCAGAGTGTTACCCTCTTTTTGTATTTCCTAAAATGGCTATGGAAACGTGGGGTAGTGGATTTTTCTGGGTTAGTCCGCAAACAAAACAACGTGATTATTGAATATATATAGTATCTCAATAACGAAAAAAGAATAGAACAAAGCAACATTCTAAAAGCTTGGTTAATTCAAACAACAGCGACAAAAAAAAAATCGCGCAGTTTTCAACTATGCTGGATTTAAATCGATGAATACAAAATTATGAATTCATAGTAAAAAAAAACTAATGTCAATCAATAAAAAGATTAAGACTTGGGCTCAACCGGGAATTGAACCCGGGACCTCTCGCAAATTGCTTAGAGAACCCTAAGCGAGAATTATACCACTAAACCATCGAGCCATGTAATTGTTATTACAATGTCCAATAAAACATATTTTCTGATGTTGAAGCTTCAAAATGAACACTATTTTTACCAAAAAAAAGTTTTATATTTTGAAAAAAAGGTATTTAAAAAATATTTAAAGAGTAATTAGGTTAATTAGGTTAATTATTCAGTCTCCATAAACGTTTATGGCAATTTTTGTACTTTTTCTAATCCCCAGTATTGAAAAGGAGAGCTATAACTGTAGGCGCTGGTGCAAAGAGCTTAAATTGAGTGCTCTTTTTCGGGAAGAGTAAAGGAAAGAATTGAAATGGAATACCGATTCTCTCAAAAAGTTTAAGTGACTTTTAATAATTTGCATATTTGATTAAAGCGTTGATGAAGACAAGAAGAAATAAGTTAGGTAGATTTGCTATTTGACGTTTAAAAATGGAAAGTAAGATATTATGTGCAAAAACTGATAAAATTGAGGCTGATATTATACCTTTCTTTTCCCTAAAAAAAAATGAACAGTGTTTTCTTTAAAAAATCAATTTTCATTTTTTTGTTTTTTTGTAGTTTTGGTATAATTGAAAAAACAATTTTTAGTATTATAAAAATAAATAAAAAAATTACAATTTGGAAACTTCCCATACATATATGTGGTCACTGTTGAAGAGTTTGAAAGAAAAAAGATTTATTTATTTAGTACCTTATTTTTTTCATTAATGATTAATCTTTAAAAATTCAGAAGTATTTAATCTTAATTTATTGTAATAAATCAACTCTTTCAATATGGATTGTAGTTTGTTCAAGTTTCTTGAATTTTAAGAACAACCCACCGGAATATTGCAATTAATTGCACTTTTAAAGGCACGCTTACCAATAATTTGTAACCTGATATCGTGGGAATATCTACATTTTGAAGCAACTTCATGAATAGGCTGCAGGTTATAAATACTAATTAGTAATTAAAATACTGATTGTTTTCAATTGTAAGCGAGGATTAATACTAATAATATTTTTTTCTCCTAAAATACACCTATTAAAAAAATTACTATTAAGGTATTCAAATCAAGAAGAAAATATGCTCAATAATCTTGGTTTTAATATTGGAAGTTTTGTCCACTGTGAAATTTTAAAAAATCAGGTAAGAAAATTAACTGTCAAATAGGATTCTATTATTATTTTTTTTTGTTTTTTTGTTTTTAACAAAATTGCCATATTGGAAGTTGATTTTATTTGCATGAAGTTCAAAGCCAATTTTAAGGATTTACAATAAACAAAATCAATGATAAACGTATCACAATAATTTAGGCTGCGTAGTTTGAAGAAGAAAAAATAAAAAAAATCATGACCTACCAAAATCCTCTGTGTATCATGTACCTTGTATCTATTTGGGTAGGTGATGATGACAAAATTGCCATTATTAATTTATTCATAATCGTCAAAATCGTTTACCCTGGTGTGTATATCATTCCTAATTGAGTAAATTAGCTCAATAGATCCACGGAGTATATATCAGTAGCTATTTTTCCATTTTTTTTTATTACCCAAATATTTTTTTAAATTTTCCAAGTTTACTACCAAAATTTCCCCAAATTTATAAAAAAAATTTTTTTTTATTTTTTTTTTATTTTCAAAATGGATATGGATGGTATGAGCATGTCCACCACTTCGACGGGTTGTGACCCTGTCAACTTTTGGAATTGGGTAACTGTCGGATCTTGTCTCTTGGCAAGTTCATGGAATGTCAACACCAAGGGCCAGTTTGCAGGCACATGTATCGGTGTGTTTTGTTTTGTACTGATTATAGAGTTTTTGGACCGCATCAAGCGCGAGTATGACCGGTACCTCTATCGACAATGGCATTGGACTACTGCAGGCGGTAAGACCGAGGAATTTCTGCCATCGATGGAGCTGGTTCTACCGAATCCTATTTTTTCCTTTTCCCACTCACCAGCTTTTGTCTACTACCGCCCGTCGATTTTTGCGCAGGTCGTTCGAACGGGGCTTTACTTAGTCCAGTATATTGGAATTTATATTGTGATGCTGATAGCCATGTCATATAACGGCTATGTCATCATAATGATCTTTTCAGGCGGGCTAGTCGGCTACTTTTTATTCAGCGCAGATGTATTTAAGCCAGCCGTTTGTGAGATTGGCACCGAAAGTGGTAGTCCTTTGATTGGCGGTTTTATATTTTGAAAGTAAAAAAAAAAAGAAAGAAAAAAAAAAAAAACTTTCAGAAGCTTTTCACATCTTCACCTCCTTATTGTTGAACCGTTAAACAATAACCATGTCCATATGCTGATCGGGTCCTTGTCCCTAATAGCGGGGTTCTGCTGTTCGGTTTTTTTTTTTTTTTTTCTCTATTATATACATAGGTCTACCCACTTCCTTAATTTAGTGTTCTAAAAATTTCTCCAGCCCTTAATTTAATTTCATGCTATACTTTAAGTATAATCTATCCATTAACTATTATTTGTCTTTCTTCCATCATCTCTTTTTCATTTCACTGAAATAATTCTCCCTGCTACTTCCACTAGCTATGGCAAATGAAACGAATACTCTCAAAACTTCGCGTCCCTGATGCTGCCCAACAATTCCTAAACTCTGCTGCAGACGTGTTGATGCCATTCGGGCACACACCCATCCAGCTCAAGCGTGTCTTTAAAGCGGCGTTGCTAACAACCATTTGCTTCATGTTCAGTTGTATTGACAGGGTTGATAATAAGCTCGGGAATGCTAGTTACCTTTGCGCACTCATATCGGTGTCCATGCATCCAGGTCGCCGTCTTGGAGCTATGATGCAGTCCCTAGCTTTTGGTTTGACTGCTGTCTTGATTGGTTTGCCATACTCTCTATTTGCACACTTTTGTGCCAAAAAAACCTACGACGCCACTAACGATCTACAAAAAGCCTATGGGATTTTCGTCATCTTTTTATTTATTGTACTTTGTGTATTTGGCTATGTTAGATCAGTAGCTCCTCGTTTTTTCTCAGTCGTCTTTGTGTGGTTTCTCATTTGCCATTTCTCGTTTCTTTTGCCTATAACGACATCTTACAGACAAATTGCTTACGATTATAGTGTTCCATTCATTATCGGTATTGGCTTGTCATTTTTTGTCAGTGTTACTGTTTTCCCTGAATTCGGTTCAACCTATATCGGTACAACCGTATTATCGGCAATGCACGAGCTCCAAGTAATGTTTAGCAATACATCCTATTTCTTTACATCTTTTGACACTGATGATCCACACAATGTCAAGGAGCATTCTCGTAAACTGGCTGCTCTGCTCTCTCAAAAGAAGAAGGTTCGCACGTCATTGGCAGCTTGCGACGCCACAATGCTTGAGTGCACCTACGAATTTTCCTACTCGTTCATGGCGCCACAGGAACTCAAATCACTATTAAAGAAAATGAGAAACTTGAGCGTCACTGTAAACGCTTTGCACGTGGCTTGCGAGCTGGCATTAGGTGTTTTTGCCGGTTATCAACCCGAAAAGGATCAGGTAGCCTTTACCGATTTGAAGAAAGATCCCGATCCAATGTCAAGTTCTCACGACATTATCGAAAGCATTAAGCCGGAAAAAGAAGCCAGTTATGCAAATAAAGAACTATTAGTTGAGTTCATCAAATCAGTCAATGAGCCTGTCCACAAAGTTACGGAGATTGCGCTTGAGGCTCTCAATGAAACCAAGTGTGTTTTGGCCTATACTTATGATGCCAAGGTCCACAGCCTAAAATTTTCAAATGCGGTGGATGCAACATTTGTTGATCTTGACCATGCCGAGGTTCACAAAAAATACGAGGTATCGCTTGAAAAAATTGACAAACATTTGGGAGAATTGGCAGCTGCAAATGAGTCCTTTTCTACACTTGTTAAGAGTGAACTCAGCAAAATTTCTGATAAGGAGTTTGATTTAGTATATCTTGTTCCTCAGGAAGAGTATTTTGTGCTATCACTATTTCTGCTTAATTTCCGTGAAACAGCTCTCCTTGTTTCCCAAATTCTTTCTCAAGTTCGGACTCTTTTGGAGATTCGCCAAAGCCGTGAAACACATGGGTTTTTTGGCCGCAAAATGTGGTTCTCTATTATACATGTGCGTCACAATTGGAGCAAATATTTGAAAACCGGTACTGCAGAGCTGCAAGAAGGTGAAACAGCAAGTATTGCCGCCACGAAACAAACTAGCAATGACGTTGGTGAGTCTAAACCTTCATACGCTCGCAACCCAGGACTACGACGGCAGTCTAGTTTTGATACACTTGCTAGTGCTGCTAAAGATACCAAGAGGGCCACAGTTGAACGGGTTTTATTGAAAATCCGGCTCAGACTGATCCGGGTTCTGGATCAGCTTCGAGAACGGCGGCTGCACCTGCTGAATGCATTTCGCACGGCGCTTACAATTTTCTTGGTGACTTTCCCAGGGTACTCGGTTCACATGCGTACATGGTTTAATAATACCAGAGGATCATGGGTCGGATTCGCAGCTATTATAGCTTTGGAGACAAATGTTGGTGCTACCGGATTTGGTTATGTGATGAGAACAATCTCTGTGGTTTTGGCTTCTGCTTGGGGATATGCTTTATATGCGGCCGGCAACTATGGGCATGACCGGTATGTCATGACGGTTATGGTGTTTATAGGAGTCGCTCCAATGTACTACATGATGTTATTGTCTCCTCATGGGAGAGCGTTTCTTATCGGTGTTGTTAGTTTGGTGGTAGTTCCGCTGTCAACTCTACGCAACCACGGCATTCCAGGTACTATTCTAATCAACTTTGGCAAGCGGTGTGTTGCCATGCTTGTTGGCGGAGGTGCTGCAATGCTTGTTAACGTGGCTGTGTTCCCACAAAAAGCTCGAGTACATTTAGTAAACCAACTAGTCATTGCACTCAAGTCGTGCCAGCTGATCCAGATCCAGCTTGCGCTGGGAATTAATGGAGAAAATTCGGGAGCGTCCAGAGTGTCTATGGTGCGCAGTGAAAGCCGATATAATCAGTATCATAGGAAAGCCAAATCAGCTTTGGCAGCTGCAGACTCACTTCTCAAGGTGGCCATGACTGAGCCCAGGTTAAAGGGTCCCTTTAAAACGCGTGCAGATATTTATACGGAAATTATCTTTGTTTTGCATCAAATTCTTGACCGCTACAACAATATTAAATTTCTGCGCCAACAATACGGATCAGCAGTTTTAGACGAACTTAGTGTAAGTGCTTTTTTTCATTTTATTATTATGATCTTTCTATTCTAACATCTTTTTTTTTTAGCCAAACACATATTTATATCGTCGTGAAGTATATGCTACTATTATTGCGCTTTTCCGCACTACTGAAGAGGCTCTATATTCTAAAAAACCAATTCCACAATACGTTCCTTCACCAAGAATTGCACACATTCGTGTGGTGAATGCTGTTCGCGAGAGTCTGGTGGAACGCAAGGTCAAACAACAGCATAAACAAATGCAATCCCAAGGATTGTCATTTCAAGCGCGGCGACTTTTGGGTAGACCAGAAGTTCCACCATCAGCGCAACATGAGATGCTGCGGAACAAATACATGGGTTGGAGTGCTACCAGTGTTGCCACTGAAGAGGTTATCCAGTATGTAGAGGAGCTTACTAACCTGGCCAAGTTCCTGGTTGGGTCGCAGGATTTCGAACACGGGTTTTTGGCGCGACCATTGTACGCTGAGCGTACGCGATTAATTCGGGAAGACTTTCAAAAGAGAATGGGTGGTAGCAGTGGTAGCAGCAGCGATGATAGTCTTGATTTAGACGGAACGCCATTGATAAATGAAAAAACTGAGGATGTTATTGGCAATTGTACAGTAGAGGAACCACCGCGTCATGTTTCTGAGCCGCCTTCTGGAACAGATTTAATGGCGGTATACACACATCCTAGTTTGCGTGAATCATTTGTATTTGATAATGAGGCTGCCGATGCAAATTCTCTAGTGTCACCGCTTCCCATACAACCTTCTCCGCATCACTTTGAGTCGTCGTTTGGTTCGAGTCCTGGGATTACGCCTGGGTTTGGAATGAATTTAAAGTCAGACTACGAAATGGCTTCACGACCAACATCACCGACTATGGTTCCGCTCAAGGAGCCGATTCCTGACGGAGGAGTGTTGTCGAAGCAAGCAACACTTGAGTTCCCAAAAGAATTGAAACGGCACCGCATTTCTATGCCAATTCATGGGGGGATTTTCCCGCATGGCTTTTTGAGCGGCTTTGGAGGTCATCATAAGGAACAGGAAACGACTCGTGAGGAAATTCTTTCTAACATGATAATACCAGAGTCTCCTCCTCCAGTTCAGCGTGTGTTAAGACCTCGCTCAACAAGCTTGGTGCGCACAATCAGTGCGTCGTCTACAGAATCTCATCGCCGTCCACGCCGTGGATCAATTTTATTTGGAACTTTGCCTGAAGATGATGAAGAAGAAATTCCATTGACCCTTCAGAAAATCACCACGCAAAAGAGACAATGGAACAAAAAACCTCAGTGAATACTTGGATTTTTTTTTAAAAAAAATTTTTTTTATCATAATTATTAATTACTATTATCCTTACGTTTAATTTTTTTTTTTTTTCATTATCCGTATTTACTAATCCAGCTCAATGATTTCTGGAGGTGATGGACTGTTTTTTTTAGAAGATGGAGCCTGGCCACTCGTTTGTGTTTTGCGTTTCCTGCTCTTGCGCAGCGACTGGCCTGATCCAGAAAATGTATGATGAACGGATCCTGCATTATTACTTCGCTCGATTTCCTCCTCAACAACAATATCCTTAAGTGGAACGACTGGGTACCCAAAGAACAGCTGGCCAAATGGTAGTGTGAGAGGGCCTGCATCTGTAGCAGGAAGCTCTGAAAGTAGCTTTGCCGAGATCTCCTCATCGTTTTCATGATCTTGTTGCTTTTCATCGTCTTTACTGGTATTCTTTGTGACACCTTTACCCTTACGATCACCGAGAGAGCGTCCTGCAGCTAGCTTGTGGCCACTACCTTGGAAGCTGTTAATCTTACTCTTTGCAAGTTCTTTCCGTAGAATCTCTTCATAGTTGATATCACGGGCCATTTGGCCAAGAGGTGTAGGGGTTGCATATCCACTGCTGGTGCTGCCAGGGGTATTGTTCCCAGCCTTGTTGCCACCAGCACTGATTACTGATCCAGGTCGAGAGTCAGGTACGGGCTCAACATAGCCCACGGGAGGAGCAAAATCAACTTCGAGATCGGTTTCCACCACGGAAATGCTGTGTGATGGAGAGTCTGGTTTAACTTCTACGACGCGGATACCGTAGATTTTTTCATTATAAGAGATTTGGAAAACATCGTCGGTGGTTAGTGTAGAGTAGTTGCGAAGTGCGTTTTCCAAAACGGCCTTGGGATCAGTAATCTCCAAAAAGTCTGTAGACTGGGGCTCCAATTTGACAAACGTACCGAGATTAAGGGACGTATTTGTAACTTTGACAAGAGACCCCGGGGCCACGGCCAGCGCGTCCATCATCCACTGGGGCAAGTAAACAAGTCCTTCTTGCGCAATGAACTCGAGGACGCCTCCATGGGTGACAAGACCAGACTCGGCAGATTCGAGTGCAAAGAGCATCGGGTATGAGATGTGCAAACGGGTAAGCTTGTTGAGAGATGAAGGCGGTAGGATGATTTTACCGCCATAATTGAGTTCGTCGCGCGGGTTCCCGGGCATCATTGCTATGGGATAGCACCGGAAAAACTGCTGGAACTTTTGATTAGTGGGAGGAAGGTCGGCAGCTCCGACGCCCCAACCTCCTGGGAAAAAACCTTGATTATTTGTAAATGAGAACTAGAATTTAGTTAGTTAGCTAATTGGAATTGTTCTTTTTTTTTTTTAAATGACCCCGGGACGTGAACAGGACTTACCATTGAACTACTAATTGAGCTGGCAATGTTTGTAGAAACGGAACAGTGGCGAAAACTGTGGAGAAGCCTTTTGAGATATCTCCAAATAAATAAATCAAAGCCCTAACCCATACCACGTGACCATGAGTACTTTTTTCTTTTTCTTTTTTTTTCTTGCCAAATGGCCAACCAGCCGGCCACTCCAAAGTGATATGCACCCCCCGGGACGCGCCCGCTTCAAAAAACTTATTCTTGCTAGCATATTTCATTCCCATTATTCAATTATTAATTAAATATTAATTTCACAATGGGGACCGGTAACTACACAAAACTAAGCTCTTCTGGAGCAGAAGAAGACCAGGGTATTCCTCTTGAACCTCTTGACTCTTTTGATCTCGATTCTCTTGCATCTTCAGGTGATGGTGACCATGGCGAGGGTCACGGTCACTCATCATCGCTCGGCACACCATCTAGTCGTGGATTATCTCCACTCCGTTCTCCGATTGGATCACATAGTGGCTCGGATGTTCCTGGATTTGACGACGATGACTACCAGCATCTTTTACTAGGCGGCGGCGGCGGTGGTGCGGGGAACATTGGCTGGGGCGAAAGCAGTCGCGGAGGGCACGCCCGCTCAGGCAGTGTTTCGACACTTGGAGATGTTGTATTTGCATTACCATCAACACGCGTGCGACGAACAGACACAGAAGTTCCTCTAGAAAAGCAAAAACGGTTAAGTTTGTTTGACGGTCTAAGTTTAGTGATTGGACTTCAAATCGGGTGCGTTAATATAAATTTGAACATTTATTGTTTTATTTTACTAATTTTTTTTTAGATCTGGAATTTTCTCATCACCTACACAAGTAGACCGGAATGCAGGATCAGTCGGTGCTTCGCTAGTGGTATGGCTAGTTGCCGGACTTCTTGCATGGACCGGCGCATCCTCTTTTGCCGAGCTGGGGACTACCATTCCTCTAAATGGCTCCTCACAAGCATACCTCAATCATATTTATGGCCCGTTGCCTTCATTTCTTTTTTCATGGACTGCCGTAACTATTCTTAAGCCTGGTAGCGCAGCCATCATTTCCATTATTTTTGGTGAATACATTGCCCGGTGTATTGGTGCTGAAGTTATCAACACTTATTGGTTCCATAAACTTTTTGCCATTATTGCCTTAACAGCGGTGACAGCCATCAACAGTTTCAGCACTAAGCTTGGCGCGCGCACTGGTAACGTCTTGTTTGTGCTCAAACTATTATTACTTTTAGCACTTATTGTTCTTGGTATTGTGGGAGCTGTGATTTTGCGTAAAGACCCTGTTCCTTCTGCTTTGGTAGCAAGCGGTGGCCATATCTTTGCTGGTTCTTCAAAAGATATAGGCCACTATGCTATTGCTCTTTACGCTGGTCTCTGGGCTTATGATGGCTGGGACAATGTCAATTACGTTGCTGCTGAGATGAAGAATGCCCGCAAGGACTTACCCCGCGTTATTCACACAGCCCTGCCAACAGTCATTGTGGCATACTTGTTGGCCAATGTTTCGTACTATGCTGTTCTTACGCGTGAAGAACTGTTAAACTCTGCCACAGTCACTCTGACCATGGCCAATAAAGTCACAGGCCGTGTTGGTGGTATTATTTTTGCACTGGGCATTTCTCTATCATGTTTGGGTGCTCTTAACGCGTCTGTATTTACCTATGCACGACTTATTTACACTTCTGCAAAAGATGGCTTCTATCCTCAGATCTTTGCCCACACATCTATTAAACGCGGGGCTCCTCTAAATGCTCTTTTGCTGAGTTATGCCTTGACACTCATTTTTGTACTTGTGGGCGAGTTTCACTCATTGCTTACTTTTTGTGGGTTGGCCAGTTATCTGTTTTACTTTTGGACAGTTCTGGGTGTTGTGTTTCTGCGAGTGCGCGAGCCCAATTTGGATCGGCCATACAAGACTTTCATCACGACTCCAATTTTGTTTTGCTGTGTTGCGCTATTCCTTGTGTCGCGAACAGTGTTTGAAGAGCCTCTGCAGTCTTTATACGCCGTGCTATTTATCTCAGCAGGTGTTCCCCTTTACTTTTGGCGGTTTGGAATTAGTTGGAGACCCAGCGTTCCGGACTGGCTTCGCCGTGTGTTTCGGAGATGAAGTCAAGGGGGGAGGGGAATGAAAATGGACAAAGATTCTGCCCAAAACAAAGGATTGGGTGGAACTGTCAGGGACTGCAGACAAAATGTATATAAACTGGGACATCCGGAGTGAAATAAATTTGCATAAAAGATTTCTTTTTTTAAAAAAAAAAAAAAAAGAATTAGGATTTTATAGAATAAAAAAAAAAAAGGAAAAATAAAAAGAATAAGCATCATGGCAACAGCAGTCTCATTGTCTCAACAAAGTTCCTGTATAGAACCACCTTCGCGGCCAGCTTCGAGTCTCTCAGGGCAGATATCGCATGCGTTTCAATCATATCAAGGTGAGAATACATAAGCATTTTTTTGAAGAGACACGTATTAACCTTAAAAAAAAAAGTTAATGGAGTGATTACAGATGAACCGCATCTCCGAGCAGCCCTATCTGAACTCATTTCTCTTCCTATAAGTCGATCTACTGCTCGACAGTTTTTCCGACAAGCAGACAGCAATGGTGATGATTATATTGATTTTACAGAGTTTCGAAATTTGGGTCGAGTACTAGCGCAATGGCGCGATCTTTACATGCAGTTTGACAGTAATGGAGATGGCGTTTTATCGCTTGAAGAGTATTGGCGAGCGCTATGTATGTTTGGTTACGAATTAGACACTGCATTTGTGGAACGGTATGCTAATCAGCACTCTGAACTTAGAGAAGTGAGTGATGAAGGGGGAGAGACTCGAGAAGAACGGGTTCTTGGGTTTGATGGGTTTGTACAGTCGTGCATTAAGCTGGATCGGCTGAGGAAAGTACATCAACAGTATGTGTCATCGATGGGTGTAAGTCCAAACGTTGTACCGTTTGAACATTTAGTAGGAATGGTTCATGGGATTATTTAAAGTACTATTTTAAGTATTAATTTATATATATATATATATATATAGAACGAGCATTACTTTATATAAAGATTTATTTTTATTAATGGCTTTTTTTTTTTTTTTTTTTCAATAGAAGACCTTTGAAAACCCAGGCACTGAAAAATGTCAATATAGGTCTTTAATGTTCATATGCAGTACCAAACTTACTCGTACATTGAGCCATCCCAACTTCCCCAAACCTTCATTCAAGAGACTTTTAATTACTTTATACTGTTTATCGTTATACATCTCAACAACAACAACAACAACAAGAACCCTTTTTCTTCAGGTCAAGTTTGTGAAAATAAATGTCGAGGCTCAGCAGATTCTAAGATAAAGTCATTTTATTTCTTCATTACACCATTGAACGACTAATGTTAACTGCGCCTTTCTAAATACTTTTGAATAAATGGAGAATTTTCAATAAATAATTCCTTTTTTTTTTTTTTTAATGTTGGTGCTAGGCAAAGGCAAGGATTGTATGGACACATCCGAGAACTTTTTTCCAAACTTTGCCCCAATCCGCAGCTCTCAGCCGCTTTGAATTTTTACTTTTATTATTATTTTTATTTTTATTATTATAAAATTTGAAAAAAAAAAAACTACTTAAACCTCCAGAAATCTTCTTTTACTTTTTTTTTTTTATTTAAAAAAATATATATTTCATTTAATCAATTGAAACTCATTGAAATATTCAATTAATAATATAAGCAAAATAAACAAACTCACCATGAAAAACTACGAATACCAACAACAACAGCCACAATCACAACAATCACAACAACCCCGGCCAAACCCAGGGTACCCAGTAGATGGATTTGGAGGATATAATAATGCATTCAATGGTGGATTCAATAATTTAAACACTGGTTTTGATAGTAATAACCGCAGATTAAGTATGCATCATCAACAGACTGGTATGATTAACCCACAACCAACTGGAAGACCCATGATGGCCCAGCAAGCAACAGGAGGATTCGACAGACAACAACAACAACAACAACAGCAACAGCAACAACAGAATCAACAACTACAACAACAATCTTCTGGCCAGCAAAATAATATGAACCGACAGTCATCAGTGGTTCTCTCTGGAACACTTAAAGGGACTGTTGATATCGAAGGGATTTTTAAACAAATCACGAAAAATAGTATGTCAATGAACCGTTTTTTTTTTTTTGTTTATCTTTATCTACCTTTTTTTTTATCGTTATTATAATTATTATAATTATTTTTTTTTAGTACTAACACTTGTTTTTTTTTTTTAGCAGGGGGTGTCATCACTAATGAAGTACAGTTGCAAGAAGCTCTGTCGCAGTTTGATTATAGTACCCCATTTTCTCCACAAACCGTGCGTCTCTTTTTCCGAGTGTGCGATGCCAACGGCGATCGAGAACTTGAATACATAGAGTTCCGCAATCTTTGGCGTGTTCTAATTGAATGGAAAAAGCTTTACCAAAAATTTGATAGAGACCACAGTGGTAACATCTCCTTTGATGAATACCAAAACGCACTTGTACAGTTTGGGTTCATGGGGATGTCATCCCAATTTACACAATTTTACTTTTCAAGCCATGCGGTTCAAACCCAACCAAATATGCCAATGTGCCTTAATTTTGATGGATTTGTGCAATCGCTCCAAAAACTATCTTACCTTCGAAAGGCTTATTCCAAGCATTTCAATTTTGGATCTAACATGCAACAATTTGAAAATATGATAGTTGTAGTTCATGAACTCATTTGAACCCCCTCCTCCCCCCGAAAAAAAAAAAAAAAAAAAAACTTGTAATAATTAATAATAAGTATATCACTTTTTTTTTCTTCTTCTTGTTTATCATCAATGAAGCTGTTGTAATGCCGGATTTCGGAGTGCAAACTGCGCATCGTCTTCATCATCATCATCCACAATCCCCCCAATTCTTTCTGCAACAGGTATCCGCTCAATCTCTCCATCGTCATCATCATCATCATCGTCATCGTCATCGTCATCGTCATCATTATTATTATTATTACGACGATTTCGGTTCCTATTTTTATTTTCATCTGTAGCGTTTTCGCCTGTTTCTTCATCAATAAGTCCATCAATTTCCTTTTCAATCTCGTCCATGACGTCCAGCGGCAAAAAACTCGTAAAGGTGGTCTGCACACGGTTCTTATACTTGAATGCTGAATAATCTCCATCATCTGAGTCGCTTTCAGGTACAGTCTTTTCACTTTTAATTTGTCCTTGGTCCTCATTTGTCTCTTCAATCGTTGTCAACACTGGTCCACTCTCAGTATCGGCGTCTCCTTCATCTCCTTCTTGGAAACTGGCCTCACCAATATCATCAAAAGCTCGTGCAGTCACTTGGCCTCCCAGTTTAACTTCTGAAGGATCCACTTCATAACCCAAAGATTTGGTAGCTTGTAAAATGAGGGCTTCTGAAATAAACAAGCAACTGTGTATCTGCTTATTGACCTTCTCAGATGATTCTAAAAACTTGATGTGAGACTGCATACGCTTTTCAATTAATCGTGTCTTGCGTGCAATGTCTTCCTCAGGCGTAGTTTCTCCGTCCAAATCTTCATCCTCATCATCTTCTTCTTCGTCTTCTTCTTCTTCTTGATCATCATCTTCTTCTTCATCTTCTTCTTCATCTTCCTCATCATCATCTGTTATTTCTCCCATATCGTACTCTCCATTTAAAGTATTAGAAAATAAAAAACGACTGCTTGTTTGAGCCAGCTTAGCCTTTTGGATATGTTTGGCTTGCGAACGTAACCGTTTTTCCAGGTACTTATTCACCTTCATTAGCGACTCATTGGAAATTTCCAAATCCATAATCTTTCGATCAGATCGTGCTTGTTTTACTCGTAAATCCTTCACCTGCTTGCTATCTTCCTCTATTGGTTCATTGGTATTGCCCAAAACAGTGGCCCCATTTTTAGGGAGAACCAACATTGGTTTAGGTACCTTGAGTAGCATTTTGGGTTGAACAGTTTCCGGTCTTTCTTCGTCACTTTCGCTATTATAAAAATCCTCGATATTCTCATCAAAAACATCTTCGTCATATTCATCTGGATCTTCATTGTTTTGATTTATAAACTTGGGAGCTAAACTCCCTGCAGGTGACCCCAACCCGTGCAGACCCGGCTGCACCCTAGGCTGCTGCGGCGCCATCTTCATAACACCAATCGGTGCACGCACAGAATACACACCCAGCGCGGACCCGCTGCGCACAGGCGACCCAGTCCGCATTATTGGCGATCCTGCTCGAAGGACTGGTGACCCAGCACGAACCATTCCACCGCCTCCACCACTGCTATCGCTGTAATTACTGCTTCTTGATAATGTTTGCCGAACTATAGGGCCAGGCGAAGGTAGTGGTGATAAGTCCATGTAGTTTGTATAATTTGGTGGTGACTCTGGTGTTGAAGCATATGGTAATTGACCTGGAGGAAGAATTCGCGGCAGGTTCTGCATATTGTTTGAATCGTAGATTCCTCCTGAAGCATATGTATTTGGTGTTGCATAATTGCTATTGCTTGAGTTTGTGCTGGTACTTCCATTGCCACTGCGAATCCTGAGCCCCGAGGATGCAAAGAATCGGGGTGTTCCAGAGGTTGCTGAGACAGCTGGACTGGTGGCTTCAGGAGCTATTCTTGCTCCTTTGCCACGTTGTAAGTATTGTTTTGTGGTAGGGCCTGATGAATTCCCAGTAGCAGCGCGTGCACCGAGCCCTGAGATTGTGATTTTTTCGTCTTGATCAACATTGCTGCGAGCCACCCGAAGTCGTGGTCCAGACCCATTGGATAATAGAGCTGAGTTCATAGATACTGAGCGTAAGCCGACAGTTGGTTGTGAAAAAGCTGTAGATGTGGGGATTTGTGAGAGTACTGAGGCTGGGCGTGGAAGAGATTGCTGCTGTTGCTGCTGTTGCTGCTGTTGCGCCCTACCATGTTGGAGCCGGAACCCGGTTGGTGTTCCGTCGTCCATGGTTTATAAAGTGAAGAAAAAAAAAAGAGTAAATTTTTGTGAGAAATATATATTAGTATGCTAAAAGTAAAGTACTCTTTAACGAGCCCAGAAACACATAATTACTGGGGAAATGGCTAAAAGTCGGGCAAAACGTGGTTAATTAGCGGGATATATTTTTAGTGTGTAAGGGGAAAAAAAAAAATTAAAAATAAAAAAAAATATTACGAGGCTGCGATCTGGTGGCAGGTTTATTGGAGGTTTTGGCAAGACAATACAATTATATAGCATCTACAAACAAGATCTTCTTCTTTTTTTATAGAAAATATGAGTAAAAAGATCAAAACAAAAAAAAATTATAATTAATTTAGTAATTTGATTATTATAATGAAGCATTGATTATTTGAGTTTTATATTTTATGAGCATTTAGACTTAGAATGAAACTGATTTATTTCTTGTTAAATGTTTGGTTTGTTCACTGTGTATTAGAGACTAACTGATTGTTACAACATTGTGTGACAATTTTATTTTTTTTTTTTAATGAGAAAAAAAAAAAATAAAATAAAATTGTCAAAAAAATGAGCTGATATCAAAAAAAAAAAAAAAAAAAAAAAAACTAAAAGTAACCAAAATTGAAAAGTAGATCTTGTAAGCTTTAAAAGAGTATTTTAAAGTCTTCGAAAGTTATTATTAGGATATTGGAGAGTATTACCCTAATATTAAAAACATCAAGCTCAGCCTTGCATTTATCAATTTAAAGAGATCTACCAGGGTTTTTTTTTTTTTAGTAATCAGTTCAAATGTTAAAACAAACGTTATCCATCTGTTACAGATGGATGTGTACACTTATCACCAAAATTCTACAAAATCAACCAGAAAAAGATCTAATGTTAAAGGAATATATATCCTGAGGTTAGGGTTAAGAAAAATCAAAATGCGAATTTTGGATATGAATAAAATTTACATGATTCGAAACCAAAAAAAAAAAAAAAAAAAAAATTTACAGTAGATCATGATCGTGAAGTGCCTCCCTAAAAGAAAGTGATATTTCCAAATATATATATCTATATATATATATATATATATATATATATATATTTGGAATATGTTGTTTTACTTACCTTCACAAACTGAAATCAAAAAATGTCTGATAATAATTATTATAATACTCCAACATCAAGCTTACCAACAAACAAACAAACAAACAAACCAGTTTATTATCATTGCATCTCAAAAAACAAAAGGGGCTCTGATTATGAAGTCTACAACTACCAATTGAGTAATTGAAGAAATGGGGGTTTTTATTCCATCTTTCTTATAGAAACAGAATTTACAAAAAAAAAAATTCTTCTCCTGCAATTGATTTTACTTTAACAAACAATTCTGATCTTGCAACTGCTAGTACTTTTTAAATCAAACGGAGGCTTAAAAAAAAATCTTAACGGAGAATTTAATCTTTCCGGCCGGTCTTAAATAACGATTGAAGAAATTGCCAAGAAATATTATTATTATTATCATTATTAACAAAAAAAAAATTAAAGATGAAGTGATTCCAAATATGTTGAAAGATTCATAAAGTTATTAGTTTAAATCTTGAGGCAAGTACTATATACAAATGATATAATTCCTTTTGTTATTGACGACGTTTTATTTTTTTTTTATTTTTATATGCACGTCTTTGATTTATTTTCCAATCATACGAGAGTTTGGTTTTAGAAGTTTGCTATGATAAATTCAGTTTTTTTTTAAAGTATATTTCAAGCTCACGCCACAGGTCAAATTTTTTTTTTTTTTTTTTTTTGATAACGGCTAAGCATTTTCAAAAGTACGAAAAAAAAAAAAAAAAAAAAAAAAAAAACTTTACTTATTATTATTATTGCGTTTGATACAGGTAAGTTATTTATGAAGAGAATTTGCAAATAATAAAGAACAAAATTGTGTTTAGATCAGTGGTATAAAGGTTTACAAAAAAAAAAAAAAATGAATTGAGAAAAAAAAGTCTTTGAAATTTTTTATGGGGGCAGCAGAATATGACTTTATATATATACCAGTATAACTTAACTTAATCTATTATACCAAGAAGCACAATTTTTTTTTTTTTTAAATGAAATTCTCACGTTTCATTTAAAAAAAAAAAAAAAAAAAAAAAAAAAAAAATAGCAATTGATATTTTACTGTGATAAATTTTTAAAAGTTTCATTTTTAGCAAGTATGATCAAGAGTGACATGACTAAAAAAAAAAAAAAAGAAATCCGTGTATTAAATTTAACAGTTATACTAAAATATAATAGAAACATGATGGACTTTGATTTTACAGACCCTAAAAAAAAAATGAAAAAATAAAATAAAATAAAATATTGACTTGGGATTGCAACAATTGTATTAAGAAAAAACAAAAAAAAAATTCAATCAAGAAATACAATGACGACATTAATAGTGCTATATATATTATATATACTTTACAATTCAAATTGACCGAAATTACCAATACTCAATTGAACACCTCTTATGAATAACTTTTTTTTTTGCAGGTTCAAGGTACTTAAACTTGTTATGCCGGTCTCCGCGGCTTACGTGTCTACCATAAAAAAAAACAAAAAAAACAAAAAAAAACAAAATATATAAGATATTAAATAGTATCAACGACATGTTCAAAGAGAATAACAACGGTTCTTCTTAACGAAAAAAAATAAAAAGTTAAAAAATAAAAAATAAAAAAAATATGGCACAAATTTTGATTATTCGAATTATGCACCGGAAAGCATTGTCCGTATCAAAAGACTATGAGAACTATTAAAGGTTTTTTTTTTTTTTTCGGCTTGTCGGTACCCAAAAACGATATATATATATATATGTATAGATATATATAGATAGATAGAAGTTTATTTTTTTTTTTTTTTTTTTTTTTTTTGTTCTTCTAAAAGTTTATTACCAAGAAATATATATATAAATATATTATATATATTAACTAAACTTACTTTGATTGGAAATTGCACGTCGTTAAACTTTTTTTTTTTTTGGGAGGGAGGGAAATTCATTCCATCTTGTTCATTCCATCTTGTTCATTCCATCTTGAAAATCAAAAATCAGGTTTTCAATAGAAACCAAAAATCCTGGATATTTCATTATCATTAGCACATTACCAAATCTAAACTTTGGATTTATTTATTTATTTATTTATATTAAAGTTTTAAGAAAACTTCTTTATTTTTTTATTTTTTTTTATTTTTGTTCAAAATCTAAAGCAACTTTAATTGATTTAGAAAGTCATGAAGAAGAAGATAGATTTTATTACTAGTGTTTAATGGAAATAAAAATAAAAAATAAAAAATAAAAAATAAAGAATGTGCATAAAATTCACATACAAATACAGCGTATTAAGCGAAACAAACCTCTGTAAATGAAGATGCTAATCAAGTTCTAATCAAGTTCTAATCAAGTTCTAACTCGCCTAAGTCCTCACAAAATCAAAGTACCGTTTAGCAAAATGTCATTGAGTCATGTATATTGTATTTAGTAGCTACAACAAAGCCAGTCAGCAATTCAGTCACATGACCAACACATTTGCAGGGTCAACACTAACTTGCCTCAAAAATGTGTGTCTTAGCATACACACACACACACACCCCTTTCCCCTCCTTTCTAAACTGAACACCCACCACCCACCACCACCCACCAAGCACTTAGTTTTAAACCTCCCACAATACTAGCCTTATACTCAGTCTAACCGCAAATTGGGATGCTGAGATTCCAAACCTTCAAGGATTACTTACTAGGAAGCAATCCAGTTGTTGACTTGTCACCATTGACTTGCCACATGAATTGTCCGTGATCTGGCAGAAGCCCTATTGACATGACTGTAATGTGCAAAAAAAAAAAAAAAAAAAAAAACAATAACTAAAAGATGACCAAACTTGTAGGTATCAATTGAGTGACTGCAAGTTATGGAAACATTGTTTGAGAATGTGGGCAGCGACACTTGAAGCAAGTACAAAGTTGTTCCATGTAGAACACCGGGACTTTGAACCAGTGATTCTATATATATATATATATATATATATATTTCCATATGTATTATTATTATTAAAAAAACAAAGCCATTAATTCTAGTATTATAAAAAAATCCCCCCATTCTTCCAATTACTGCTCAGCCTCAAGCTGCATTTCATCCTCATATTCGTAATCATCCTCAACAGTAGCTTCTTGGTACTGTTGGTACTCGCTGACAAGATCTGTCATATTAGACTCAGCCTCTGTAAACTCGGATTCTTCCATGCCTTCATTAGTATACCAATGAAGGAAAGCCTTTCTGCGGAACATTGCAGAAAATTGGTCACCAACACGCTTGAAAAGTTCCTGAATAGAAGTTGAGTTTGCAACAAAGGTGGCCGACATTTTGGCATCCTTGGGGGGTATACTACAAATTGCAGTTTGAACATTGTTAGGAATCCATTCGACAAAGAAATCAGCATTACGTTGTTGGACTTGACGCATTTGATCCTCAACTTCTTTGACAGAAACTTTACCACGGAAAAAGGTAGCGACGGTAAGGTAACGGCCGTGTCTTGGGTCAGAGGCAGCCATCATATTTTTAGGATCAAAGATTTGTTGGGTAAGTTCTGGGACACTAAGAGCGCGGAAGGACTGAGTGCTAGCAGCAGAAAGAGGAGCATAACCAACCATAAAGAAGTGCAAGCGGGGGAATGGGACGAGGTTAACAGCGAGTTTACGAAGATCCGAGTTAAGCTGTCCAGGGAAACGGAGACAAGTGGTGATACCTGACATGACAGCGGAGACGAGTTGGTTAAGGTCGAGAAGGGTAGGGTGTTGAAGCTTGAGGGTTTTTTGGCAAATATCATAAAGGGCTTCATTATCGATACAGAAGGTTTCATCAGCGTTTTCAACAAGTTGGTGGACTGAGAGGGTAGCATTGTAGGGTTCGACAACGGTATCGGAGACTTTTGGAGATGGGACGACTGAGAAGGTAGCCATCATACGGTCTGGGTATTCTTCGCGCATTTTAGAGATGAGGAGGGTTCCCATACCTGAACCAGTACCTCCACCGAGTGAGTGTGAAACTTGGAAACCTTGAAGAGAGTCACAACCTTCAGCTTCACGACGGATAACATCAAGGACTTGGTCGACGAGTTCAGCACCTTCAGTGTAATGACCCTTTGCCCAGTTGTTACCAGCAGAGGATTGGCCAAAGACAAAGTTATCAGGGCGGAAAAGGTTGCCAAAGGGGCCTGAGCGGACAGCATCCATTGTGCCAGGTTCGAGGTCGACGAGGACAGCACGGGGGACGTATTTTCTGTGGCTAGCCTCATTGTAGTAGACGTTAAGGCGTTCTAGTTGAAGTGGGTTATCACCGACGTAGCTTTAATTAAAATGAATGTTAGAATTTAGAAGAAATGGATAGATGGATGGATAGATAGATAGATGGGATAGGATAGGATAGGAGAGGATTAAAGATTTTTTTTTTTTATAACAACATACTTTCCAGAGGGATCGATTCCGTGTTCATCAGAGATTGTTTGCCTAAGAGAAAAGAAGAATGAAAGAGTTAGGAAGAGGAAGAGGAAGAGGAAGAGGAAGAGGAAGAGGAAGAGGAAGAAAAAGAAGAAGAGGAGAAGGTATTGATTTGTCAAAATAAAGACAAGTAAGAATTAAAGGACGTACCAAAAGGCCGAGCCCTTTTTCGAAATTGTTAGTAAGGAATAGATATGATGAGAGTTGATACTTACGATTTGGTTACCACATTGGCCGGTTGATAAATGGATCTAAAAAAAAAAAAAAAAAAAAAAAAAAAAAAAAATTAGTTTATAGTTAATTAGAATTAGATTGATTGATTTGATTGATTTGATTGATTGATTTGATTGAATTATTATTATTGAATATATATAAACGTACAATTTCTCTCATTTGTTTTTATTTTTGAATTAAAAAGGAAAGTTTTATATATTAATATATATATATATATAAATAAAATAGGATAGGAATTAATGGATAAGAAATGAAGATAGTTTTAATAATTTGGCGAAAAAGAAGGGGAGGTTTTACTTTTTTTGAGTTAAAAAAAGGGGGTGTTTTTTTATTTTATTTATTTATTTTTTATTTATTTATTTATTTTTTTTTTTTTCCTATTATAGTGGTGGTGATGATTTTGATGATGTGTGAAATATTTTTTTTTTTAGGTTTGGGAGGGGGGGAGAAGAAAAAAAAAAAAAAAGTAAACAAATGGTGGGTTAGGGGATAATTTTAAAAAAATTTCATTAAATTTTTTATTTTTTATTTTTTAATGAAATTTATTAAAAAATTAATGTAATGATTGTATGTGTTTAATTTAAAAGTATATAAATTTGAAAGAGGTTACCATAATAAACTTAATTTTAAATAAGATATTTTGAAATCAATATAAAGAAATAATATGGGATAAATAATAGAACCATAAGGGTTAGGGTTATATAGGGTTAGGGTTAATAATAATAATTTAATTTTTATTTTTATTTTTATTTTTATTTTATTTGTAATTTTTAGGTTGTAACGGCTTTTTTTTTTTTTTTTTTATTAATTAAATCCTTCTCTCCAAAAAAAAAACAAAAAGGCCACCTGATTAATTATAAATTTGAAAGTTTAAAAAAAAAAAAACGGTCAACTGAAATCGTTTTTTTTTTTTTTTTTTTTGAATTTTTTATAATTTTTGAATTTTTTATATATTATATTTTGCTCTTAAATAATTTATTTGTTTTTTTATTTTATTTTTATAAAAAAAATCTTTATTATTATCGCATTTAAATTTTTATTTTTATTTTTATTTTTTTTTTTTGGTTGATCCCGGCTTTTTGCGAGTTAGAGTTTTTTTTTTTTTTTTTTTTTATATATTCCATTCCATTTCAGTAAAAGAATATCTAAAAAAGAAAAAAAAAAAAAAAAATTCATTCATTTATTCATTAAAAATATCAAGTAGTAAAATAAATCTAAAAGTGGTTTTATAATTATTATTATTATTATTATTATTATTATTATTATTATTATTAGAATTTTTTATATCGAGTTAAAAAAAAATAAAGATTAAAGAATTGGATTAATTAGTTAAGAAAATATAAAAAAAAAATTCATAATAAAGAAAATATATAAATAATAAATCCATCACAAAAAAAAAAAAGAATCCCGAGGCACAAATAAGGCACAAACGAGGCTGGTTATGGAAATAACAATATAAATACAATAATAAAAATATAAAAATAAAAAGGTCTTTTGACATTTTTTTTCAAGTTTATCTCATTTATTAATATTTCTATATATATATATATATATATATAAAAGGCCTCTTTTTTAATCATTTTTTATTTTTATTTTTCAAAAAATAAAAATTAAAAAAAAATTTAAACCCCTCTCATACTTTTTGTACAAGACCAAAAATAATAAAAAAATTATAAAATAAATAAAAAATAAATAAAAAATAAATAAAAAATAAATAAATAAAAAAAAAACCATTTCAAAAATGAGAACTTTATTAAAGTCAAAAAAAATAAAATTAAAAAAAAGTCTCAATCCTTTCAAAGTGTTAATAATTAGTAGTAATAGTAATAGTAATAATTATGAATAGAAGTAAATAAATTATTCAAAAAAAAAAATTTTTTTTTCTTCTTCTTCTATTTCCTTTTTTTTTAAAGGTCATCGTCATCATCATTATTATATTTATATTTATATATTTATTATAAAAATATGATATCCGATCTAGTAGTATTTCATATATATAAAACACGGTACTTGACGGGCAACAGCCGTTAAAAGAAAAAAAAAAAGAAAAGAAACGGAAAAAAAAAAAAAAAAAAAAAAATTTCTTACAAAATGACGCCTTTTTATTTTTTTTTATTTAATATAATAAAAATAAAAACAAAAGATGCAGCAGCAGCGGTTGTAGTAGCAAAAAAAAAAAAAAAAAAAAAGAAAAAGTTGCTTACTAAAGGTTACCCGGTCTTTTTTTTTTTTTTATTTAAAATTATTGATGGTATTGATGATGTTGATGATGATGATTATGCATACACACGCCTTTTTTTATTCTATTGTTATTATATAATAATAATAATAATAATAATAATAATCTACTACATACACACACTAAAATTGAATAATTACTAATTATATAAATACTCCACTCTTGCCCTCCATTTTTTTTTTTTTTTTTTTTAATTTAAATATAAAAAATCCTGCCCTTTTTTTTTTTTTATTTTTATTTTTTTTTTAAAAAAAAAAAAAGAATCACCACAATTATTAACAAACACACACTATTATTAAACAAAATAAAAATTACACACAACTATATATAAAACATTAGTAAATAATTAATCAATCGATAAAAAATTTTTTTTTTTAAAAAGAAAAATAGTCTTTATTTATTTCAAAATATATATATATATATATACATTTAAATATTAGAAAAAAAAAGACTTTCTCAACTATCAACCTTCAACTCAACCAACAAACTTCACTAATGCCATACTCTAAAATCCCAACTCATTCTTCATCTCTATTATAAGCCCTCATGACTTTTCTTTATAACCCATCAATATCCCAAATCACCCCTTCCCCATCACCAATATTAACATTAGCATCAACATCAACATCAACATCAGCATCAGCATCAACAGCATCACCATCACCATCTTCATCATCATTAATAACAAGAACAAAATCAACTATGAAACCAAAATACCCATCTCTAGATGATATTCTAGCTGATAAAGCCCCTCACCCTTATTCCTTGGCTAATTTTATCGGATTTCTATCCCAAAATCATTGCCTTGAAACTATCGAATTCACGCTGGACGTGGCCCGCTATACTGAAAAATACTCTCAACATTCCTCTTCTAAAGCTGAACTTAATAAAATGTGGCAAAGAATAGTTGATGCATATATTCGAAATGATTCTCCAAGAGAAGTTAATCTACCATGTGAAATTAAAAAGAGAATAGCAAACTCTTCTTCTTCTTCTTTTTCTTCATCTTCTTCTTCATCCTCTTCTTTTTCTTCTTCAACTTGTTCTCCTTGTTGGAAAAATCTTCCTTCTACTAACTGTGCAGCCGCTATAAATTATTGTACTGCAATTGTTGGTGCAATTTCAAATTCTTCTACTACACAATATCATTCAGATGACGATGAACCTGACCCTCCTTCACCAACTTTACTTGCCCCAGCAGTAGCTTTAGCAAAAGATATGATGAAGGAAAACGTTTACATTCCCTTTTTGGCCAGTGTAAAATGCTCAGCAGCAGGCCAAGAAAATGATTCAAAAAGCCCGTGTTTTTTAGGCTTTTGTGGAGGAGGAGGAGGAGGAGGAGGAGGAGGAGTTACAAGCGCAGCCACTCAACACCAACAGCTACAACACATTACAGAATATTCTCCATTCGCTAAACCACCATCAAATTCCTCTTCGCCTTGCTCCTGGCAACAACCAAGTTCTTGGGAATCCCCATGTTTCTCCATTTCTAAATCTTCATCTTCCGAATCTCTTTATACGGGTGACGAACATGGTTTCAACAATAATATCAGTAGTAGTAGTAGTAGTAGTACTGCTACTACTACTACTACTACTACTACTACTACAACACATAATATACTGAAAACACCAGCAATTAATAACAATAACAATAATAATTGCAACTCTAAAACAAGTGATGCTACGATATCTACATGCACATCCACAACTTCTACAGCCTCAAGTAAACCAACCACATTATCAATAGCCGCAAGTGGTCCCATGACTCCTCCAGAATCTCCTCAAGATTATGAAGAACCTTTAAGGAGTTTTTCAGCTCATGAATGTGCCACGTTTCCATTATCCAAAAGTTCATCAACAGATACTAATTCTACATTTCCCCAGTACACTGAGATTCATCCTCAACAACAACAACAAGTTGGACCTTATAGAAGTCATTGGAGGAAAATGTCAAAACGTCTTAAATGGAGACGAGGATCGGATAAAGATTCTAAACCATTACCACCTACCTCTGTAGCAGCAGCAGCACCACCAGCAGCACCAGCGGCATCAGCAGCACCGCCATCATCAACAGCTACATCACAGACACCAACAACTACCACTACATTTTATTAAAAAAAAAAAGAAACTTGGCCTTTATGGAGTGTTTCTTTTTTTTTTTTTTTTTTTTTGTATATTATTACTACTCTAACTTTTACGAATTTATGAAAATGGGAATAAAATGAAAAAAAAAAAAAAAAAAAAAAAAAAAAAAAGAAAGAGAATATAGGAGGGGGAGGAGGGAGTAGTTGAGATGAACATTCTAGACTTTTTTTTTTTTTTTTTTTTTTTTTTTTATCTCTTATTATTA